AACTCCTGCGTGTGACTTCTTCGTAGCGTTTCCTCGCCGCTCCTCAGGAACGACGTTTGCTCGAGAATGAGGTTCCGTCCTTCCGGGCGAGAACCGTTCCTCTGGATCGAGCGCTGCAGCACACCGATGCACCGTTCCAAAAGAACGGCGTTCCTCAGGAAAGGATGCTCAATGCTCGAGCACATCGTTCCATCGTTCCAGGAGAACGCCTTTCCCCAGGAACGTATGCTGGACTATACCGTTCAATCGTTTCAGAAGAACGCCATTCCTCCGTTCTTTCGGCCCCGACTACTAGGACGTCTAACTGGCCCGATTTCTGTCGATTATTCTGCTTGGTGTGCGGGATAGACGTTCGGATATCGTTCGACGCATGGGATGAGAAAAAAAAATCGAAACGCCACCGCTTCTTCCTCGTTCCGAGTTTGGCGGGACGACATGAAGTATACCGCAATTCTCGAAACGAACGCCGTGTTGAATTTTGGTGTGTGGTCACGTCGTTTCCTGTTCGTCGCGGGAAGGTGACACTCGGCGGAGAAACCCACGAGACCGGGGAGGAGGAAATTTTGGAACGGGTCTTGTATCCTGACCTCCATACCCTCGGGGCCTCTCAAAACGTTAGCGGGTCCTGAGGCAGGCGGGAATGCGGGAACGCAAGCGAGCGGAGAGGCTACGGCTCCATGCTTCAATTCAACGACCCAGATTCCGAAGACGGCTCCGGCGCTGAATAATGTCACCTGGCTTGGCCTGCCTGTTCCGTGAAACGCATTTCGAGCGGGCCAACGAAGCGACGGATCTACGAACGAGCTCACGGCTAGAGGTCGAATGGCGAAACGGGATAGATCGCATCTCCATCGGGTCAGAGTATATCCAAAATCGCTATCGACAAAGTACTCCAATTTGTTTGCGAAACGTCTTACCGATCCGACTGACCAATCAGTTAAGCTTGTCGATCCCGTCGATCGGGGATTCGAAAGGAGTTCAACGAAGATGCACACACGATCGGTCGAACATGAGGATTTTTGCAGATCCCTTCTTGTGAGTTCCGCGAATTTTTGCGGGCGGAATGCCTCTCTGTACCTCTTGTTAGTCCAAAATGACGGTCTTCAAATATTGGTGCGACCGTATTCGACAGAGATGTCTATTTTGAATTTCCAGCCCTCCCGTTCGAAATATTTATTCTCGAACACCGTAGGATGTCGTTCAGAAATCGGCGGTTTCTTACACGGAATGCTCATCGTTCCGCAGACGAGCCAGAAAGAGGAGCTCTTAAGCGTGACAGAGCTTCGTGCGGGATTTGATTCATTCTGAGGGATATGCCCTTGACCGCATCCGTATTGTTGTTGCTGTTGTTGGTACCGCTGTTATGGCCGCCGTTGTTATTAGCTGATTCGTTGAGACCGGTTCGTTCGTGATATCGCATCATACGACCGGCTTATTGACACAGTCTGAGACCGGTCGCTGATTTCGACCGAGCGAGTAACCGATGGATGGATGCTTGCTCGACTGCTTGGTTCGGGCCGTCGGTCGGTGGTCTGGCGTTGCGCGGAATATCGCAACGTAACGTCAACCCGCTGCCGCTGCTGATGGCTGCTCTGAATTTCCCATTCTGACAGCCTGCCAACAAACCATTTAAGCGTTCCTCTCGTTTCCACTTCGGGTTCCTCCACGGATAAGCGGCGCGAACGAAACGCCTCTGATCGCTCCGGGGCCCGGGCCCGAGTCATCAGGGAGTTCGAGTTTGAGCATTCCGCGAGCCTGAACTCGGAATGGCGTGTCGACTCCGGCTCTCGACGATTGGCCTCTCGAGGTTTCGATGTTCGCAGATGCTTCATCAGGGATCGAGCGCTCTGGTACGATGGCGTCTCGCTCGGAGGTCGGGTCTCGGACCGTGAATCCAGCGATTACCGAGATTACGAAATTTCACTTGTGGCAGCGTCACACGAGAATGCTATTGTTTTCGATGGCAATCGGAAGGGGACTGATTTTATTCAGCCTTGTTTCCGACGAATTTGCCGTGAATTTCTATGGTTTCCCGAAGCGAGCATGACACAATTGGCGAGCTTGATATCGGTGATCGCCACCGTAGATAACGGAGCAGCCTGACCGACATATCGATTATTCTCCGGTCTACGTCGCGGGCCGATTCGGAGGAATCTCATTTCGTTTTTCCTCTGTTTTCTACTTGAATATCGTTTCCGCGTTCTCTGTTGACCTAAAATCCCCTTCAAAATACCCATGTATTCATTCACTCAACGAACTGTCATACGACTACGGCAAGCGTGATGAGACCGATTCCCATCAGCCAACCGAAGCAAGGATTCCAATGTACTTCCTCGTCACAAGAGACTTCAATCACGGAGGACCTGGACATTGTTCATGTTTCACCTCGAGGGCGCGTCTGTCTCCGCCCCAGTCTGTTTCCTGGAGGTCCTGCCCGAATTCTGTCGTCCTCTCAGGAAGATGCGAATGGTGGAATCGGGTGGGAGGTGGGAGGCTTCTGATCCTGATGAACGATGAAGGGGAGTTGTACGGCTGGAAGTTGATTGGAAGGCTCCGTTCCCTCGAATTCGATGATGGTTCAATTAGCTCCAGGGACGTTTGGGGATCTCCGAATGACAGAGGACACTGCTTCGATTCGCGAGGTTCAGCTGAGCTTTCCAGTACGAGGAGGTCAGAGTTTAGCGAATCTTCAAGAATTGAGTACTCTCCCTCTCTCCTTGAAATGTCGAGGGGAACTTCTTCGCTCCAGAAGTGTTCCCGCTTGTAGACGCTTCAGAATCTGAAGCTGCTCTCTCGTTGTCGGTTCACTCTGCGAGTCTCTCTCCTTGTGAATCACGCTAATTCACACGAGGGAGAGTGTCCGCTCGTGTGAAACTCCGAATAGATCATCCCGGATCGACCACGAAGTTGTCGGGATCTCGAAATTCCATTCGCTCAACCAGTCGGATTTTTGACGGTACAGAATGACTCCATTGAATTAAAACGTGGCGCGATCTTGCGATCTGAGCCGAGCCTGAATTTTAAACATGGACGCTGTCATTGGAATTGATGCCAAACGCCTGGTCGCGATCAAGTTAATTCTCGCCGTTTGTAGCCACAATCATACGCATGGGTCCCGGTTCTGGCTCTCTACGTGGACGGTCAGACTGCGATCGACGTTCATGGAAGCTCTGGGGGACCAAGTTAACGCCGGAGAAGGGAACTAAGAATAATCTCAAATCTGGGACGCTATTGTCTGCGCCGACAGACCGCAGGGCGCAGGGCGCGAACCGTCTTCCGTGATAAGTACGTGGACTTCTCCGTATCGCGCGCATATTTTACAGAAGCTCATTCATGGGCGCATGCGAGTGATGGTGCATATCCCCAGCTCCCAAAAGTCCTCTTCCTCCGTTGTTCGGGGAACAGTCGCCTTAAACAATGCGTCATTGTTGGTGACGGCGCGCGTGAAGAATTAATGACTCGTCCTTCCCGACTATAAATTTTCAATTTTCTAACGAGTGTGATCGAAAGACGATGAAAAGCGCGCTCTATGGAGGAAACGCGCAGAACTCATGGCTGTACCTATAAGATCACCGAGCCCGCTCAAAACAATGCGCATTGAATTTTGAAATCGTCAATCTTTATTCATGTGGCGAGTCCTTAAGACTTGGGTAGCTTTCGGGAATTAATGGAACCACGCGGTCGGCGTGATCGAGAATCCCTCAATAGTACGGACGAAGGTCCGTGGGATTCCGTCAAACAGCACGGTGGCGACAAATAAGATTCCCATACGATGAAGAAATTGCCTGCACTGAACATCGCCTTCTCACCGGCAGCGAATCGCGCGGTTCATCGCAGGAAATTCAAAATAGGGTTCCGTAGATTGCTTAATCGGAAATCGGAACCGACAGGTCCAGTTTCTGAGCGAGCCGATCATTCCTCCCTGTCTATAACCAACCGACGTTTCCGATCTTCTGCCTCACATTGCGTTCTCGACGGAGCGACCGGATACCGATGAGTCCGAATTGGGAGGAATCCCATCGTCTGTCGACACAATTTATGAGAGTCGCGATTGGTCACGAGCATGAGTCACCATGAAAAGCACTTTTCGGTCCGAGATGAGATCGCTTCGAGATGGACTTGAGCAATGAGTTCCCGAAAATTCGCGTAAGCCTTTCCTTGCCGCTCAAGGCGTCGTCGCGGTCCCATGTCGGCCGCTCCGGACCGAATTCCACGTAGGGCGCCTCGGCGTCGCGTTATCCATAGTTTCGGAATGGATAGCGCGGAGAATGGGATTCATCCGCTCCCTCAGCATAGGACGCCCGATCCCTCAAATCGGAACTTCGTGTGAAGCTCGCCTTCGCTCCGGGCTTCGGGAAGCTCGAGCCGACAAACTTTTATGGCGTATTTTGTTGGGGAATTCTTCCGAATGCGACAAAAGTTCTCCCAAACACCAGAAATTCAGGTCGGACTCTGACGGACTGAGCTATCTTCTGGGAACAATTTTCATTCAGCGCAAACCTTCTTCCCAGTCTTGATTCATATCTGTACCCCAGAGTCTCGGTGAGCTTTCCCTTCTGGAGGCCGGGAGGTTTCTGGAATCGTCGTCACGTAACCCAATCGTGAGATTCATAGAGCAGTCGTAGGCTTCTCCGGAGTTTACGGGAGTCCGACCACCTTTCTAATATTTTGGACAATATCGACGACACAATGTCTCCTTGTCTACTCCGAACTAAAGTCATCTCTCATCCGTTTCCAGGCCCAGAAACCGTGGGCGAAGATGCTTGAGAAAGTTGAACGTGCCAAAGCGGATTATCACGCGGCCTGCAAGCAGGAGCGCTCGGCGCAGAATCTTCAGCGTAACGCGGGTGCTGACAGCTCATTGAGCCCGGACCAATTGAAGAAGCTCACGGATCGTGTGGATAAATGTCGGGAGGATGTTTCAAGATGCCGAGAAAAATACGATCAAGCCCTCAAAGAGATCAGCGAAAATAACGATCGGTATCAGGAGTCTATGTCTGCTGTATTCCAGGTGAGTACTTTCTACAGTTTCTGGGTGAATGCTCTGGGCTCGAAATACCGTCACCGTGTCGACTGGTAGTTAGGTTCGTTTATCTACCCGTGACTGTCATACGAGCCACTGGCACACTATGAGAAAGCTCATGAGATATCATGATGAGGAGATGTACCCGCAAGGACGCGGAAAATAGTGACGAAGAAAATTGAGATCGCCAGTTAAAGAATCGGCAGGGGAGCTCTCAGCGATCGCAGGCCTTCAAGCCTCTCTCCTCCGCACCAGGATTCGGATAAGGGAGAATCATCTTGATCTGCTGCCGTTCACCGGACTGTATGAATCGCAGGCCGTCGATACAGCTTCGGTCCGTGCCGACCTCCGCCGAAAATCCAAATTGCTCTGAGCTCGGTGCCGTGATGAGAGATCCAGCCCAGTTTAAGTATTCTTCAGCTTCGACAAGCCTCCCTAGGCTCCGGAATCTTCGCACTATCTGTCAGAGATTTGGGTATATATTCGGCCGATAGAGCGACCAAAAATACATATCTTCGGTCGGGACTGGAAACAACAAAATGTTCGACACGATTCGGTAGTGAAGTAGCTCCGATCCCGAAAGAAAATATAAGCAGGGGGAATAACTCCAGTCAATCCGATTCTTGATGAAGCGTTGACCCTTCGCTCGTCGGTTCGTCCGCCTGTGATGACCCTCTGTGGACCGGAATCGCGGGACAAACCGCAAAAGCATTAAATCAATTGAGATAAAAAAAGTTCTCCGTTGCGTGGCTGATTCGTTCCAATCGGCCGTCGGATTGCCGACTGAAATCGAGAAAAACCCTCGCGTCGCTGAATGCTTCGCATAGTTAGTATCGACTCGTATTCATGGGGAAGCTTCAGAATCTCCACAAAGCGACAGTCAAGTTCTTCTAGTATCCCAATGCAGGAATCGTCGAGAAACCGTGCGGTGTCAGGTCGCCGTAAATCCCGCGATCAGAGATTCGAGTTCCTTCTGAGAGATCCGATAGTATCCGTCGTTGAGATTCGAATCCGCTCTCAATTACAGCGTTGCCAGGAACTTGAAGCGAGGCGATTGACTTTCTTCCGAGAGATGTTGCTGGGAGTCCACGCGTGTCTCAACCTCACCGAAGACTCGGAGTTGCCACAGATCTACGATGAGTTCCGCCACACCGTCACCAACGCGGATCACAACAAAGACCTCAAGTATTGGGAAAATAACCACGGGGACGGTATGCCGACCATGTGGCCACAATTCGAGGTGAGTCAGCACTTGTGTCCTATCCAACACCTCTCACTCTCTTCGCCGATCTGTCGTTTTGCCTCTCGTTTGTTTGTCGGTCCTTCGATCGATTGTGTAATGAGATGCCTGTTTGAGCATCGTATGATATGCGTGATCGGAACAAGGACTTTGGTCGACTCACTCGATGAAAGTTCGGCTACCATCGCTGACGTGGCTCGGAAAATGGCATGTGATATATCCGCTTTCCGGTTCCTCCATCCAGAGAGGAAATCGGCGTATGTATGACGAGCAACTCCCGGCTTTCCTCGATTTCGCATCTTGCTAGTTGATATGCCATGCATGATAGATGAGGAGTCGGGAAAACACAAGAAAAATTACGGGAGGAACGTCGAATATTCCCGATATGTTTTCTCGGTATGTGGAGCGCAGAGTCCTCCTTCAACAAGACGGAATCGGGGAGCCCCTCGTTACTTTCCGTGGCGAATCGTGTTGTTTACGGAGGTGCTCGAGAGGACTCCTTTCTACATTTCCTTCGTTCTTCCAAATTTTGTCCTCGAGTCGTGTCGTTCCGTTTTCTGCCTCGTTTTAAAACATTTTATCCCTTCCTATCCGTTCTCTTCATCGCCGCCGCTGTCGTTGCCCTCATCCCGGTATCGCTCGTTCGTGTCGCCATCATCCGCCTCGGCTTCCGTATGACGGCCAACAGGAGTACGCAGAGGAGTTCCGGGATATCATCCGAGACAAGGGAGCAAAGAAAGGATTTTCCGTAGACGGAGGAATCATGTTGGTCAATCAACAGCGAATCAACGACGACGTACCTGTACGAATCGTTCAGAACAAGCCCCTGATCCGTCCTCTGTCGTTAATGTTTAGTTGTTCTTTTATGCTGGCTCGGAGTATGCACAGAGGTTCTCCTTAGCCTGACTAACCGACCGCAAGCATCCAATTCGAAAACTTCCTTCCCACTGACTGGATGAGCTCTGCCTTGGTAGACCCTTTGACCTCACACGAGCCTTGCGGCATTAACACTCGAGGTCGGATACTCTGACGACCGACGCAGTAGTGAATGTCGTCAGAGTATTGATCCGCACAGCAATCCTTTAGAACCGTCGAACCGCCAGCGGTGGTTCGTTTCGCACTTAGCAATAATCCCCCGGAGCACGGGACGCCTGTTTTGACCTTGCTGGCTTAGCCTAGATTTTGGAAAATAAAATCACTGCGAAGCTATCACGCACCTATTCATGATCTCACCCGAAACAGTGATGTATTCGGAGGATCCCTGTTCAGGTGATTTGATCATTCGATGAAGCGGGAACTAACGACGATTTTCGAATCACCAGGATTACATAGAAAATCCCACCGCGAAGAAGAAAGTCCCGGCGGCTCCCATGAAGAACAACAATGTCGAGGCTAAAATGAATTCCGCGAACCTAGCAGTCACGCAGAAGCCACCGATTAATGGCTCTAACGGAACCTCGAGCCCCGCGAAGGAGTCACGCTCGTCGAATCAGACCTCTCCGACAAACGGTGGCAACCCGTTCGGCGAGAGTGAAGAATGGGAAGAAGAAGATTCCGAAGGTGAGCATGATTCTCCGATCTGCCACTTTAGCTCGAGCCGAAGCTCTGGCTCCTCCAACGACTGGCTCAGTGGATACGCTTCGACAGGAATTATTATTCATCTCTCCTGCTATGATCCCGCGATCTCTCCGTCTCGGGCTCTGCCGACACTAAATTGAATCTTGTTGCAGTTCTCACGGACGACGGCCGGCCGGGAGTCCGGGTTCGCGCACTCTACGATTATGACAAAACTGAGGAGGACGAGCTGTCGTTGAAACAAGGCGAGACCTTCGAGAAGCTCGAGGACGAGGATGAGCAGGGCTGGTGCAAAGGACGCAAGAACGGCCGCGTAGGTCTCTATCCTGCAAACTACGCGGAGCCGGTCTGATGAGCATCAAAGCACTGACGAAGAGAACGAGACGATAACGGAGAGAAGCCGGCCAAGCTCGATGATCTGTACATATTGTGGACGCATAGTTTCTGTCGTTTGTCGTTGTTGTTCCCTGTGCTAGTTGATGGGAAGGAGGAACGCCCGGCCGTCGGCGTCGTGTAGTTAGGTGCGAATACCGCTGATTTTAGCTTCGAGAACTCTGGGCTCGAGAGTGGGCTCGCCAAGTTGAAATGTTAATTGTTGTGGGAGTGCGCTGCAAGTTGTGCTCTAAAATCCAGAGGCCTTGAAATGCCGTTCTCGTTCAACTCTCGGGCTTCATCCACTTCGTCCTCCCTAATCAAACCCCTCTCCCTTCGTCGGCCACCGAAACGCCTCACATGATTTCCTCGAATTCTGGCCGCCTCCTCTTCCCTCGAGAAGCGCAGTCGGACTTTTCCTGACAGAAAAGTGCACGTTCTACGCTTCGACTAACTGTCAACGACGACTCCTGCTGTGTTAGTTCAAGAATTTTGCTAGTGAATTTTCCGAGAACACCCAATCGAAGCGGATGACAACTTAATCATGATGACGGCAAGGAGGAGAAACAGCGAACAGGAAAGGACGGGACAGATCCCGCTATTCTTCCCTGCCATTGCGGGAATCGCCTGTAGAAAGAATCGTGAGGATGCGAGAATTCCGACGTGGTGAATAAACCATAAACGATTCCCGATTGGTGCGCTGTCAATCGCCATCCATTTTCAAATCTGGTTTTTGCTCTTATTCTAGACTTATAAGTTATGAGTTCTCTGGAGCGGTGCTTCAGACGTATCGCGGCAAAGATTCAATGCTGGGGTTTCGAAATTTTATTTTGCGACAAATCGTCGCCTACTTCGCGGTCGATGATCTCTTTCACCGGGATCACCCAGCGCTCCTAAAATGTTCCACAAATGAGAGCACAAATATGCCCATTCATTGCATGCAATAATTCAGATGATCAGTCTGCTGTGTCTGGAACAGAGAGGAGAGCACATTATACTGAATTGATTAAACGCGAGGCACTCGCGGGGGAATGTCTGGGACCCCTTGACCCCATGGGAGCAGTATGCGCTGTGATATTCCGCCTCTTGACTTTAAACGGGATCGTTCAGAGAAAAATCGAACCGCACCTGTCTGTCTACCTTGCCTGGATAAAAAATCCCTCCACCCAATCAAGGTCGTCGAGCGTGGATCGAGAGGGAGCTTCGTCTTGGGAACCTACGGAGTATATAGGGAAAAAACGGGCGGGGTCATCGGTGGGAGTTCGGGGAGACTTTCGAATCTCTTGAAGGCGGTGCATGGCCATCCAGGCGTGAATTTTGGAGTTCTCTCGAAATGAGGCTGTTAGACAATAAGCCGGCTGCGTTAGATGAACCTCCCCGCGATGATTCTCAATTATGCATCCGGGTATAGAGCTGAACGATTCTCCGAGCTTACGGGTATTCGCGGTGTCTACGGCAAAATTCGGTTTGAGGTTAGATCTTCAGCGTGATCGAGTCATCCCATCAGAATCTGAACAGTAATGGACCCTGAAGACTCACCTTCTCAATTTCTTCAAGAGATGGATTCTCAGGAGCTTGGTCCATGTCAGGAGTCGATTCAGTGTTCGGGGTTCCAATCGCTTGAACCTTCCACTTGGTTGTCGAGAACTTGCGACCGCGTGCGATATTAGTGAGGGGATTGCCACCTTTCTTGAGGTTCGATTTCGAAGGTGTTGGACAACGATCGACAACCCTGATCAGAGACGTAAGATTTTCGTAATAGAGGCGAAGCAGAGAGGCAAACCTCCATGAGTCAGCTCCAATCGATTTGCAAGAGGATCCTCTCGGATAGCTGAATAGTATAGCCTACTGCGATCTCGGAGCGAGCTTCACCTTTTTAAAGACACCGCCATTATGCGTGGCACCACAATACCGAGATGTTCGGAAGGACCTGAAATTCTCTCCGGAAGTACCGAAGATTGATCCAAATACCGAAAGCACAGTCGTCTGCTCTCGCGAGCCTTTTGTAGCCGGCGAATGCACGTTCTGCATCCCTCGACCGCGACGTTTCCCCCGTAGATTCAGGCACATGCCTTATCGCGGACATCAGACTGTCCTTTGCGGCACTCCCGATGAAGACTTCGATGAATCCACGCAGATAGTGACTCACATCGGAGTTGATGGGGGAACCCCGCTATCAAGCCACGGCCTGAATCATATCCATTCGAGAACGAAGCTCTACTCAGAAGGTTCTTCCGTATTGCGTAGGTGCGCCCGGCGGAGACGACAATTTTTCCGCCATAATATAGCCTTGGGTGACGTTAATCCTTCCTGACTCGTCGCGAGCGGATATCATTCCGCTGCCGGGGGCTTCCCCGTGTGCCCCCTCCTCATACCCTGTGATCGAAAATGCTAACTGCGAGTGCCGTCGAAAGTAGAACTGATGATGAGCCGCATGTACTCGAATAATCCGCATCGGACAAAGTCGGCCGGTCGTCTGCGGAATTTTCGAATAGGGGGGTCGATGATTCCCAGGCTTAGGGGGTTTGATCGGTTTTTCTTAAATGCTTCCGGCTTCCACGGTGACTTATTTGAGAGTCGAGGGAACAGCACGAAAATCGGACGAAATAGGAACTCTAGTTATCCGAATGACCAGCAGTTTGGAGGCCTCGAGTGACAGGGTTTTCGAGGAAGACAGAGGACCAGAATTCAGGGAAGACCGGCCTCGACCACCACCAGACGTCAATCGCTCGCGATATGGTTTGAGCAAACGGCTAAAAAAAAAGCAAAGCGATGCGCTTGCGGCATGCGAGCCCTGATTCGAACGGGATACCGGGGACAGGTCGACATCCTACCATTCAAACGTAATTACCCGAGACTCTTCCCGCTCGCTACACAGGTAGAAGTTGACAAGATTCAACAGAATGAAAGGGAAGCGTTTTCTCCGTCACGTATGGGATGCGGAAGTCGCTTTATATTTATTCTCTCGAATGTTGGGAAGGTTTTGGTATTCTCTGAATGGCGCTCGAAAGAGACAGTCGTTTCTCGTACCACAAACATGCGAAGCAAATCCTATAGATGAGCGAGTCCTATCGTTCATCAGGCCCGGGAGAGTTTGCGTACCGATGATTTTCGTGCAGGTGGCTCGGCCGCACGATACATGAACTGTTCTGCATATGGGGAGGCTCCACGGCCTCCGCGTTAAACGATGCCCTCACACGATGAATACACAAGTTTGAATAAAATCGGGTTGTTTCTCTAAAATGTCTCGCAGGGTACGTCTTTATCGGCGAACTCCACGATCCAAGGATGCTGGATAGCCTCAACCAGAGAGATTCTGTCAGCAGCTTTCTTCGCCAACAGCTTCGAGATCAGGTCCCGCGCCGGTGCCGAGACGTGATTGGGGAATTTGACTTGCTCGTTGCAAATTTTTCGGTATGTCTCCTCGTTCTTCTCAGACTCGAAAGGAGCACCGCCCGTGAGGAACTCGAAGAGCAGAATGCCGATGCACCAGTAGTCGACCTGGAATATCGGGAGCGGATCGAATTTTCGCCCCAAACCGACGACGATCTATCAGTGACTTGAACAGATTGCCGAGATCACCGGTGACGGCATCGCCCCATCCTTACCCGCTGATCGTACTCGTGACGCTGCACCATCTCAGGCGGGAGATAGTCGAGGGTCCCGCACATGGTCTTCCGCCGTCGGGAAGGAGCGTGAACACTCCAGCCGAAGTCGGCGATTTTCAGCTCGTTGTTGACTCCGAGCAGCAGATTTTCCGGCTTGATGTCTCTGGAACGCGACGGAACTGAATTCATCGATCTCCACGACGTCATTCGAAAATGAGAGAGAATAGGGACCGAAGTGCTCAAATCACCTGTGTATGACGCCTTTTGCATGACAGTAAGACAACGCCTTTATCATCTGGTGCATGAATGTAGCGGCCTCGGGCTCTTCGAGGCGTCTTTTCGGTTTGCTCTGGATGTACTGCGGAAATGAACGCCTCACTTGAGAAAGATCGTCTAGGACCTCGCTGGGGAAGCGATGAGTACAAGCTCCCATATCTTGAAATCATCAACCGGCGGGCCCATCCGCATCCTCTATCGACGGACGAGTCGCTGATAGTATTGCCTACCTTGAACAATTCGCCACCGGGCGCGAACTCCAGGACGAGGAAAATTTTGCGATCGTCCCAGAACCATCGATACAAGCACAGGATATTAGGGTGTCGTAGGTTCATCTGGATCTCGATCTCTCGTTTCAGATTGTACTCGCAGCGGTTCCGTCGCAATTGATTTTTGTGAAGGACCTATGATCAAATCCAAGGAGACGTTAGGGCTGACGGTGGAGGGACCTCTCGAGGAGACCTCAGCTTCGATGACAAGTTGTCAAGAAGAGATATGATCTCGAGTTCTAGACCCTCACCTTCAGTGCCACGATGAAATGATCAACAGTTCTTCGCGCTAGGTACACGTTACCGAACTTTCCTTTTCCGAGGGGACGACCAATTTCAAAATCTTTCAGCGTGTGATATCTGCAGTTAGGAGGCAGCTCATGTGGCAGGGCAGTGGGGGGATAATCCGGTTTACTCTGACCGGCTTTCCCTGTAAGCCATGGCGAGAACCTCAGTCCGACCCCATTCATAATGACTGGTATCTCCTCCAGATGGCAGCTCAATGAAAACCCACCTGTCTTGGCTGGCACATTCTCGGTATCCAAGTCATCCATATCTTCCTCTTCGGTAAGATTGTTCTCAGCTGCCGACTGAAAAGCGTCTCTGGTCTCTTCCAATCGGAGCTCCATTGAACTATCGAGCTCCATTCTCGGCGAAGGTCTGGGCAACAACGCTGCAGGTAAGTTAGAGAAAAACGAACGGATGTTGTTCCAGCGAGCCAGCTTCTTTGCCTAATCGTTACGAGCGGGACGCGGCAACCTCTCGCTGTAAGCTGAAACCGCCAATTTTTTCGAATAAACAAACGGGACCCACGCGCGTCGCTTCGAGAGACGGCAGACGACAGCCAATACCATTGCTTTCCCGTTCTCTCTCCGACGCGCGGCGCGATTTTTCAAAAATTATTTCTGAAGCGGGAGCTTTCCTCCTCCGACGGAACGAAGAATCACGCTCACTCATTCACCCGGTGTATGGCGCGACGGTTCATGCACACTCTAAACACTCGAGGAGAAATCTGAAAATTCTGTTCTCTGTCGGCTCCTCGCGAAGCTCAACCCATCACCGGCCTTGGGGTACCCACAGAAAATACCGGATTCGCTTCCGAAACCTATCCGCTGGTCCCGAACGCCACCGCCTAGAGGTCTGGAGATACGGTGAGATCCTCGAGACGGAGTCCCGTCATATATCGGCCTTGTGCGAGCCTTCAGGAGTTCAATGCCAGAAGGGTATTCTTCATTCAGTCCGTCAATGCTCACTCAGGCCAAAGATGGAGTCAAACGGGGAATCACTGATGCTTTAATGAAGGAGTCAGCTTCAGACGGATCACTGGAGCGATGGATTACAGCGATCCCTCGAGCTCGAAGATTTTCCAGAATTGATAAGCTTTTCCAACAATCCTCGTCCCCAGCGCCGGGATATCGTTGCGGAGCAATGAAGGATCCAGACAAGTCGAGTTCAATGAAGTCCTTTATTCTCCCACGCATATCTTACATATTCTTGTAATCGGTGCCCATAAGAAGGTCTTCCTGCAACGACTCGAGTTCCTCCTTCATGTCGGGGCAGGTCGCCGCGATGGCTTGTTGGAACTCTTGTAGGGCTGTCTCCATCGGATCAGGCATCTCCATTGTTCCCATCTGAAAAGATTGAGGTCGTATAATTCCCGGCTGAAGCGATTTCACTTGGGCCAGACGGCAACCTCCTGGAATTGTGACCGCCGGAAGCTTACCAAAGGCACTGTTTGCGCTCGATGAGGGAGTTTGTGTTTGAGCAGGAATCTCGCGACGCTCTCTTTCTTGCGGACCAGCTGCGCGAGCACTTGCACAGAATCGCACCACATGTCAATGAAACTCGGCAGCTCATCTTCCATTTTCTTGTAAATTGTGGGTATCCTGAAGGTGTTGGCCTTGTTGTTCTTGTTGAAACCGCAGAAGGTCCACAGGACCTGGACCGAACAAACAACCGCCATCGTGAAGCGATCGCTGTCTTCCACGTTCACCTGGCAGAGTTTCATTACAAGGCAGGCGACGGTCAGAAGAGACTGAGCTTCGAAGGTGCCGAATTGTCTCTTGTCCGCCATCCACTCAGCCAGACATTTGGCACAAGTGTATAAGTGCTCCTCCGTATCGGGGAATGTTAGCGAATCGAAGTCTTCGAAAAGGAAGCGCGCTACATTGACTAACCGACGGTCATGGTCAGCCTGGAACGACACGAAGGAATTATCATCATCGTTACTGTCGAGATTTCGGAACCCCAAACGTCCGATTCTCAATTTTTTGCGTCACCTCACCTTGAGCTGGCCGATTTGGGACGTAAACACGTGGACGGTGAAGTAAATGAAATCATCATTGCCATCCCAGACCTGGAACGCGTGAAACATCCACGTATAGCCTCATGGATTCTTCTTCTCAATCATCAGCACCGGTACCGAGGACAAATTTCGGCACTACTGATCCTCCGATGGGAGGTATAAGGAACTTGACGCAGAACTTACTTGGCTGACCAAAGCGGAGCTGTTGATGTCCGGCTCGTGGTCGAGACGCGCAACGATATTCAGGCAAGCTTCAGACCACTTCATCCGATGACAAAATCGAGAGAGTCTGGCCAGGAGCGGCTGCATGACGTCCTCGATGCTGTCCATGTCATTCAGGTTCCAGAAGGTCAAGGCTTCAACGGCGGAATGTAGGAAGCGGCGGAGCTCGAGGTTTGACTGAAAATTTTCCCCCCATCGATGTAAGCAGGGAAAATGCGGAAGTCCCGCAAGCTACCGGGCGGCTCTGATAAACAGGCTGAAGGTCAAAGATCAATGGAGCCCACCTCGAAATCTTCTTCGGATAGAAGCAAATCGATGAACGTCGCAACCGCCTGAGCAGTTTGGGTGTAGCATTTCTGCAGAGACAGTATTTGCTGGGGTTCCCACTTCGTGTCTCCCGGATCGTTCGTGAGCCTGTGGATGCGGAAGCATCCGGAGATCAGAAGATATCCTAACTTTGGGGGAACGAGATATGCGGAGTATATTTCTGATGCGAGGAGTTTCGTGCGACCTTACCGGTGGACGGAGCCATGCAATATCCTCAAACAGCAGCAGAGACTCTGAGGAGGCGCGAAATCCTCAAGCTCCTTGAAGGATGTTTTTCTGCTCAGAGAGACCCGGAGTTCGATGCAGGCTATTTGGGTCATGAGCGTTAGCAGGATGTGCGAGTCCGGGCTGCTATCCTGCAACAGTCGGCTTTGAGGAGCGCGAAAGACGGCGATCTCGCGATTCGCAACGCATTTCGAATCACCGAAACGAACATTTCCTTTCTCTGGTACTCACCAACCACGAGTCGCCGAAACATTCAAATAGAGCTGCGCTCAAATTAAGGGCGCTCCGGCGGAAGTCGATGGACAGTTGCGATTGGAAGATATCTCTCAGGCTGTGTCGGAAATGCCACGCATGTTCTTCGAAACCATTCGCTTGGCCGGGACACTTCTCCTAAGATAGTGATCAGAATGTCTCGATTTAGAATCCATGCTCATGACAGCGGGGAGAAGCTGGAACGAGACTAGAGATCCCGAACGAGACGAGAGATGACATCGATCACAATGGCCTTACAGAACAGTTCCACTCTTCGAGGGAAGGGACCATGGAAACTGTGGAAATTCTCACCGCCGCTATGTTGCGCAAGAGTGCAGCAATTGAATCGCAGAGTTCGAACTTCTCTTTGGTCTGGTTGTCACGTAGCTGTCGAGCCAATCGGCCGATTCTCTCGAAAACCGGATGTTCCATTCTTCGATCAGGAACAAGCTCCTAGCTCAACCCTGAGAAGAAATTTCTGCACGAGTCTACTCACGAGTGCGCGCCTCCGAGACGCATGCACCCGGTGTGTTTACAAAGGGGTGGGGGCGCGACACGGACATCGGATGATCCTGAATGGGGCACGAGCGTTCATCTCACACGGGAGAGGGGTGACCGTTTGAAGGATGCGACTCACGTCATCCGCGAATACTTCGGAACAAATTGTCCCGGGATCGGATCATGGATAAAAGCTGATAATGTAGTCGATCCCTTTCGAATAATTTACCGCCTCGAAAACACCTGATCGAAAGTAAACAGCAGCGGAGAGGGCAAGCTCGAGGGAAAGGGATGCCCGGCATCGAGAACGAACGAGAGAGCAGACTGAAAAGAGCGCCAAGTTTCGGAGCCCAAATTCCATCCTCGAGCTCTACACGCATGATTATCAGAAGCTGCGGCACCAAACACTCCAGGGAAACTCAGTCATCACAGCAACGAGGAATCATCGATATATCGCGTTCCCAAGGAAAACTTGCGTCTATGTAGAATGGGAGCGGCGTCATCCCCGTGGGATATTCATTCATTTCTTAACAGTATTTTTCGGTCCGCGCAATTTCGACAGCTCGACGGCAGGAGCACACTCATGATAAGGCGCTGAAGTTTTATTTTCGATTAAACCTTTCCCGGAAATTTCGCTCAAAACATTCTCCGTCAGAAACATTTCCACGAGGGGCATCGAATATTGTTCGAATTCGGCAAAACTCCTGTCGATCCAATCGATGTAGAAGTGGACCTTATATCTAAATTTATGTATTCTTTGCTTTTGAGTCTTCGCATCGACGTCAGATTTATCTATCAAACAGTTGCCGAAAGCTTTCAGGAGGCTGCCGATCTCCATCAGAGCTCGCCGAACAAAGGCTCTATCGGTGCACAATTGCCTAGAAAATCAACGAGGAGGAATAATTGAAGCTTCCCGGTCCGACGTGTCAATTGGATACCGCGGGCTTCGAATCGGATTGAGAATACTAACCGTATGTCTCTGATGAGAGATACTCTGTTAGCGTTTGCAGCAACGATCGGCTTCGAAAGAACGTCGCAGATGGCGACGGGGACCTGTGGGGAACCATTGGGATCAACCTGGCGCTCACCGTCTCCGGATATAATGAGAGAGGATGGAACTGACTCGCGATCTCACCTCGTGGCATTCAACTTGATCGAATAGCGAGCAAATCGAGCAGAAGGTACTCCCGGCCTCTTCCGCGAGGTCCTTGAGATCTCCATTGTAGTATCTGCATGGTATAAAAACAACCCCGAACGTTAACATCACTGCCGCCGATGCTCGCCGCAGGGTTCAATACATGGATACCTCATCCTTCACATATTTATATAAGCAGAAGCATGCTTCGCTCTCTATTCCTGCAAACTGTCAATGGTCAATGATGAATGAATGATCACCTGGCTGTGAAGGCGAAACTGGACAGCAAATTCAACATATTGGCACATCTTGCTCGGAGAAGGGGGCTGATCGAGCCCGTTCCACGGGGAATTCTATCGTCGAGCCTCAGAATTTTCTCGACGGACGCTGGCGGTGCAGATGCAAGGGGCTCCGGCGTCGCTTCCGCCATCTCGGCATCCTGAGCGCTGCTGGTCGTTCCCGCCAAAGAAGGGGAAGTTTTTCTCGGTTTGTATCTTGGGTCGATTATCGAAGTGCGTTTCGGGTTCTCGCCGACTGCATCAGAAGACCTGATTCGTTGGGAAATCACCGACGGTTTTCTCGAGTCGGGGGTCGTCGCTATAGCGGATTCAACTGTTGACGGCGGCCGTTGTGATGACGACTTATCCAACGACAAAACTTTCCTTCCGCCGAGCCTGTGACGAGGGATTTTTCTCTGCGGTCTGTATCCTTTCTCTGAATCTTTAATGTTCTTGACATCCATCTGCGGGAGAAACAGATCGAGATTCCATCATTGCCTTCGCGTCTAGCCGTCCTATGCGATGCTTCACTCACCTCTTCTATCAACTTCTTTCGCTCGAACCACCACGGTTTCCACGCTGGTATAAGCTCCGAGATACGCTCGGACGCCAGTAAATCCGAGAATGTTTGACGCTCCTCCGCGGTGAGCACCTGCACAATCGGAAGATTCAGCGAAGGTCCCGCAGTTGCACGTTGCACAACATTCATAGCTCTGCTCCAACAACCAAATCCACAGACCTCTAGAACTGAATTGGCATCAGTGATGTCGATATTGCTGAATCTGGCGGAGAATTCGGAGTCCAAGTGGTCCTCCTCCTGCTTTGCCTGGAGATGTTCTCGCAAAACTCGCTTCACCTGCAGAGAATACATTAATGAGCTAAGCATGACATCCTCATCCCCAGGGTGAAATGCCGCATTCCAGGAAGTTAAGAAACTGACCTTTTCCGAATCACAATTTCGCGGAGCATTGGCTTTCAGCTGTTCCTGCGCGCATTTTTTGTAGAACATTTCGCTGCATTGGAGGTGCTCTGAGGACTTGTAGCAGGCTACGCTGCAATATGGAGCACGACAGCGCGGGCAGACATACGCAGCCGATTGCGACTTGTCACAGAACTTACAAATCATTGTCCGGGTATCGTTTGATCTCCGAGATTCAATAGTTGTCAATCTTCGCGGTGCGTTGGAGAATCGAACCATCCGCCGAATGTGATGATGACGCTGATCCTCGGTTGGGGTGCCTCGCGACGGGCCCTTCCCGAGAGCACGCCACAAGCCCAACGTGTTTACATTGATGAATGCATTTCTAGCGGGGAGAATTCTGAGTTCAGCGGGGCTGGCGACTTGGTGACTTTACCTGTTTTGGCGAGTTATTCTGGGGTGACGACGGGATCGATCTAAGAGAAGATTCTTGGACCGAGTAGTAGACTGAATGATGCGGACCCGGACTCAACGCAACATGGATACCTCATCACAAGATAGCGAGATGAACTGGATAGGTGTGCACTCTTGGGCAAAACAAAGCTTCGTACAGAATACGACCGAAACTTGAGCGAATAAGATCGGAGGAGCTCATGAGAACTCATTCAAAAATGCATATAAACTCGGAATTTTTATTTTATTCATTTATTTCATTTATTACCGGGGCTTCACTTTAGAAAATTTAAATTAGGCCGCCATAGGAATCCGTACAAGTCGCGAAGAAGGGCTTACTCGCCGATTCGTCGAGTCGCACGCCCCGCTGGATTCAGAATTCTCCCCGCTAAAAATGCGTTCATCAATGTAAACAAGTAGGGCTTGTGGCGTAGACCCCCCTTCCCTGCTTCGGTGGGGATGAGGCTGGATACTATTGAGACGTCATAAGCGAACTGAACTCTTCCTATAGACGCACTCGTTGAGAGGCCGTTCTCAGTCGGTTCCCGATTCCCGGCCCGATCTCATTATGTTTGACAATCCGGTAGGACCAATCAAAATCCCAGAACTCAAAGTAGGAGCGCTCCCATGCTACAGACGACTCGGAAGTCTAGAACGTTGAAGGAGATGATTCCGGGCTTGAACGTTGGGCTCCGGACAAGGGACACCTTCAACTCCCCATCCGGGGAGAATTCCCCAGGCCTTCTCCGATCGGTTCTTGCGGCCTCCGTTGATACCAGCTCGCTGACCCGCAATCTTCACTATTTTTGTTCAATGAACTTCCCTGAGAGAAACTGACGGAGCGGCGCGGCGGAACTCGACGGCTTCGACTTCCAAATGACCAAATACCTCTGATAATCTCAATCGATAGCCCAAAATGGATTGCACAAAGCACGCGATCTCGAATTCCTGACGTGCGTCGGGGGAGCTCTGCCCGCGATCTGCCCTGCAGCTTAAAACATTTCAGAGAGAGATCATCATCGTCATTTCACCGGTCATCATCGGGAATTCGGGAATATCGGTACCCTCTAACTCCGGCCGCGTTCTCGGGTGAATAGGTTCCTAAAGCCATGGTTCAAACCTTTGCTTCGGCGCGATAAAGCTTGCATAGTCCCCCGGATCTTTCGAGCGCCCTTTGCAGAGGACCAGGAACCGGTCTCTACCATCGCCGCCGGGCCTACCCTGGTTTCCACTGAAACCTTTTCGTCTGCTTCCGCGTTCGCGCACGAAAGTCACTTATTATTGTCGGAATCCTTGCCGAGGAACCTGGTCGATCGATCTCTCCGGAACATCTCGATTTTTGATTCGAGGTGCCGGATCTCGAACGATGTTGAAGTCTTTACGATCAGATATTTATCGGTTGGGGCTCCGCTTCTGCTCGAAACACACAGAAGAGTTCCCGGCCGAGCTGAAACCCAGGAAAGAGGCAGAATACCATGCCAGTTATCACCAGAAAGCCAAGGGACGAATCTATGACAGGAAACCCATGCTCGTCAAGCTCCGAACAGGCAGGCAGTACTTCTGGTATGTTCATTCATTCTTTCAATATGAGGCATTCATCCTGGAGGCTCCCGATTGCTTCCCATCAATGAGCGCTTCTCCCCGGACTAACATCATCGAGCACGAAGCTTCTAAACTTCAAGTCAATTCTACTCCTTATAGGTGTACTTGCGGCTGGAGCCATAGTCAGCCTTTCTGTGACGGAACGCACAAAAATCCACATTACAGGATATCCTTGAGACCAATGAGGATAGTTCCTGAAGAAACGAGAGAATACTGGCTGTGTAATTGTAAGCAAAGTTCGAAGAGGCCATTCTGTGATGGGACTCACAAGACAGAAGAAGTAGCCACAGCTCCCAGAGTTTATAAGAATGGTTTCTAGTTCGGCGACATTGTATCCGAACCGGCAAAGTTATTCGTGGAGCTCGGTGGAATGCATCTTCAGAATATAGTTGTCATATACGGACATGGTCTCTTTTTTGACGATCGAGCGGACGGTCGATCGAAATTTTCATTGGCAGGTCGCTTGAGACGGTTTTCCGCAGAACGAACGGGATCCCGGACGTAATTCATCATGGAGCTCACTCGAAGTTCAAAGCTACTCCTGGTATTCTCGTCTCCCTTGATTGATCGAAAGGTCTCATACGGCGATATGAGGCTGGTCGCCTGAGTGAATTTCGTCAGATATTCGCTTCTGTAAGATGGGACGGTGTATATTTAGCGGTTCTCGCCCGTCCGATACAGCGGGTCGGGATCTCGGCTTGCTGCATAGCTCTAGGCATCCGATTATTCGACCTGATCTCTTTCTCTTTCGATGACGCGGCCAACTCGTAGATACGAGAATATCCATCCATCGTATACCTTCAGGAGGGGCCCGCTCCCGAGATCTAGGGGTCGTAAGAACGGAATCGATTGTCCCTCGGCAAGCTGACGATTCTGATGCTCCGCCGTGCCATCCGGCATCAAAGACAGGGGAGAAGCTTTTTCAAACCCCAGTGGACTTTACTCCCGATTGAAAGGACTACCGGCTCAGCGCAAACTCACCGGGGGTCCTAGAATTAGGAATTCAGTATATTGTACATAGATTACGGCTTGGGCTCGAGGTCAATGCCCACTGTCGATTGGAGTCCCATGATCTTTGCACGTTCGGGATCAAGGGAGCTGGGTAGTTCCCGGTCATGCATCGAATTTCGCAAGCGAGACTCCAGGATCTAACTTCCAAGCAGAAGTGAATCCGCGGCAGCACACGGTCATCTCTAAGACTGCTGTGACACCGGCCAAGTGGATCCGTGGCTTTCTAGACATTATTCTGAGCAACTGATTGTAAGATTCCTCTTCCTGCTCGCAGAGTCGGATAATATCGAGTTCAAAAACCTCCATGAAAATTTCCTCGAGAGTGTTCGGAACGTCAATTCTGCATCGACTCTGGCTTCAATTGAGGCTTGATCCGCGCCGCAAGGAGGACGGGGTCCTTCGTGCTACGAAATCGATGATCGAAATGGTGGGATAGGGGCTCTGAATTCCGCAACCGGCAATGCCAGACTTCACGGTCTTATCTATCTCCTCGATATAGAGCAGGCTTCCGATTCACGTCTCTACTTTGAGGACTTGTAATCCTTCGCTGACGGTTGTCGATCCCCATGCGAGAGCGTTCGAAATGATTAGCTTGATCGAAGAAGCAGAAAATCCGCCTAACCTCCGAGAGCAGCGACCTCTCTCAAAGTTAAAAATGCGCTTCGGCAGGGCGAGTCTTGTTGCGCTAAAAAATCGTCCGTACGATCTGCCGACTGCAAAGAAGTCTTCGTCGATCACGTTACTGGACAAGCTGACGGCGCATCAGAGGAGCGGCACGCTGACCCAGATATCTATGCTCGATGAAGGATGCGATACGCTCGCCTACCACTAATTTTCCCCTACGGGCCAATCATGTCGACATACGGATTGGATGAATCCGGAGGAAGAGAGGATAAGTGTCAGGAAGAGAGACTCATTCCGATTCGTTGTCGGTGAGGGGCGAGGACTCCAATCCATTGCTACATGGGAGGGAAACCCTGCACGAGGTTTGTCGTAGACCGAGCAGAATCGAATCCATTACCATCGGTAAGAGCCCCGCATCGACACTTGTGGAGAATTATCCCGGGACGACGGATCGTTCACCCATCTTCATCCATCGGGAGTTCACGGAATATGCAACAGAGCTTCCGAGACGCCAAGGCAATCTTCGCCGAGTATGGGAAACCGGACGTGTTCGTGACGATTGCCTGCAATCCGAACTCGGCGGAGATCAACGAGAATCTGTATCCAGATCAATTGACATCCGATCGTCCGGATTCGTTGAAGCGTGTTTTCTAGCTGACACTCGCCAAGGCTTATACAAGGCTATCCTTGAAGTCATCCTCAGGCAGCAAATTTCTGGAAGGGTACTTGCTCTTGCTCGCGTCATCGAATTCGAAAAGCGTGGTCCTCCTTTCTCGTCACATGCTTCTGATTTTAGCTTCAGGGATCAAACCACGCTTTGCCCCTTCCATTCGGCCGCTCGAGCAGCTGGCTCCCTTGGGGATATTTTTTCGGAGCAGTCTCAACGCGGCTGCAACGCTCCGGATCGTCTTCTGCACTCAACTCGTGGAGAGATATGTTCGCCACCTCATTCTCAGGTCAATAATGCCTCGTCCTTAATCCATTGTAACTGCAGTGCAGTCCCAATATGCATCCGCTGAATCTCGTCGGGCGTCACCCTCCCTCCGCCGCCACCATGCAGCCGATGCACGTCTTTCCTGGACCGCCGGAAAGTTCTCGGACCGGAATTTGCGCGACATCAGATGTTTTGTACGGACACGGCAGGGCGCGTGTCATCCTGCAATCATGGACGCAGAAACACACCGGTGGTCGACTTCCTATCTTCGTTCCTTCATTGGAACGTACCCGATTATAGTATCAGCGGTTCCCCAACCGGTGATCTCGAGCAGCGTTTTTGAGTCCGGAAAATTCATCGATGTACAGAAAGTCAGTTTTCATCCATGGACCGCGCGCGTGACTCACACGTCAACCTTGACAATCTGTTCCGTGATACCCTCGCACGGGGAGATCCAAGACCCGAGGAAACCCGATTTCGACACGTATGTCGAAACTTTCATCGGGAACTGTGCGGTCTATATTCTCCGAACCGATCCGGGAACATGACTTCCCTCAAGTCACTATGCGCGCTCACTAACCCCTTCTGGAAATTGAGGCGTCTGAATTCTCATCCTGGGTTCCTGACTAGTGGATAATCACTCAGCCAACTTGCCGCTGCTTAAACAGAATGGGTACACTTCGGGAACACTTTGAAGCGTTTTGCAGGCAAGATCGCCATCCGTGAGAAGAGAGATCCCATTCGGGATCCTGTCACATCTGTGGAGCTTTGGCGTAGAGGAGGTTGCGAGGCGGCCGCTCGAGTGGCCTCAAGCTCCATTCCAGTCTGTAGAGATTCCGGTAAGATGCTCGTCACACTCGACTTTGCCAATGCCTTCGACTCTTTACGCAAAGACTTGATCCCCGATGCACTTCGAGCCAAGTTTCTCGCTCTGTACCCCATAATCCATCGCACCGATCTCCCTCGAAGCCTTCTTAAAAAACTGGGTTCTGCTCACGGAATGCGGCCCGGCCACTTTCTGTGTTGGTCTTCACCATCAGCTTTCGTCGTCGCTCCAATCGGAGTTCAGGCCTCGGTTCCCGGATGACGGTGAGCTCGGCGGCCACGCTGCTCAGTCCTCAGCGTCAAGCACAGAACTAAGGACTCCGCTCTTGTCTCAGCCTTGTTCCCAAAGACGCTCGCCTTGCATTGTTCCTCATCCGCTGCGCTCCCCATGCTCTGCGTCTCACCTACCTGCCTCGCTGTGCGGACGCCGATCGGCTCCTTGACCACCAGCGCTGCGTTCCATGCGACGAGCAAAATGATCCCAGAACGCCGGTTTATATTCGGTTTCGCAAGAGAAGAGGCTGCGGAATTCGCTTCCGTATCGAGGCTTTGGTCCCCCGATTTTGTCGACGGAAAGGACGGCTTTCCGACCTCCTCGAGAAACTCGCTAAGCGCCCGGAATCCGGGCTCCGTTCCGCCCGACTTCCTTCCTCGGGTTTCCTCGAACGACTACATGGATCGAGGGCTGCCTGAGATCATGAATCTTAAACAAAGAGCATTGAATATATGGTACGGAGTGGAGATGAGGGATGCTTGACCATCTGAGCCTGTTAGAGGGAAATGTCTGCGGTTTTCGCTGGTTAATATCGAAGCTCCGAGGAATGCCAGTATCAGAGAGTCTCACTATGATGGAGACAGCCCGTCCTCGTCTCCGATATTCCTCTGCCGCGGAAGTCCTAATGCGTTTCCGAGAGCGCGTGATAACGAGAAGATGCCTCCATCAGAGAGGTACTTGTTCTGACGAAGACGTCGATGGCATAATTCACCAAGTTTGAGGCTCTTCTCACTGGAGCCTTCCTCCGTTCAAGTCAGACTGATTCAATCATCGTTGGACTAGATTGAAGTGCCTCTACGCAACAGCACCGAATATCCATCCTTGAATGCCCAATCCGTCTGTAAATGGGGTGAATAAACGGCGACTTTTAGCTCGCGCCGTTCGCATGCTTCTCAAGTGACTTTCATCTCCATGGCTCTCGCGCCGATTCCGTACTTGTCGGCGGAGGGGGACGGACTGGGATTCCGGGGGTGGCAAGGCACCGTAGTGATGAGCTGCTCCTTTATCCAGTTTCAAGAACGAAATAATTTCAGGGGTGCATTGACACCTCCTTCACTGCCTCAATGCGGCTTTTCGGGGAACACGAGAGCATGGGCATGATCCACAGAGAATCGAATGCTGTTGAAAAAAATTGAATCGCGGATTGCGAGCCTTACGAATCTACGGGACACCTCTCCCAAGAGGTGAGAGTAGCTATATAATCGGAGCGAGCTGATCATGGATCGCCCAGTTATCCACGTTCCATCAGTAGCCAGCAGTGTATGAGCCCCCGACCTAAGCTGGACCATATTGGCTAATTGATAGGCACCCTCTCCACTCATGGCTTCACTTTTCGCCGAGCGCCACTTCCTGAAGAATTCGCGATCAGCTTCGACGTCTCTCATCGAATGTTTCTTGCCTTCAACAAATGACATGTCTTGAGATTCGACAGACATTCCAGGGAGGGACATCGGATATCGAAGTCCGTCAGAGTCTCTCGAGATCGAGAGCTCATGCCAGACTTCGGCATATTTGAGCTCACTGATATACGGGTCCCTCTGCCGGCGCCGGCCGGTCGCGGGACGAGAATCAGTAATAGCTCGGAAGTTCCTTCCAATCATCGTTATCGAGTCCTCCTGGTTGGTCGCTACCTTGACAGAGTATACATCCGCAACGATGCATTCGCGGAAGCTGAATTATTATTGGTAGCACCTTGGGTCAGTCACGAGATCTTGCCTATATGAAACTCCTCAAGTTCGCATCTGTCGGACAATGAGCGCGTGACAGCGGTGGCGATTTTGAGAGTTTCGCTATCTCGAACGGAAATGCCCCGAGTGTCGGAACGAAAGCCCTCTGCTCCGATGCAACGCATCCGCACAACAAGGCCCAGTCGATGATAATTTGTATGAACCACGCCTTGAGGATTTCAAGCCTTCGCGCGCTTTTTTTCGCAGCTCCACCTAGTGGCACCCGCCAATAACGGCCATGTTTATTTTTTGAATCCGGAGTAAATCGTTGTTCCTGCTTCTGGTGGCATACAGGCACACACTCACACCCCGCCACCCGAAAGGCGGGATTTTAAGCTGAGCGTCAACAAGTTATAATACTCGAGTCATTACGGATCGATCGTGACAGTGTTCGTCGATTCACCCTCAAAACTCAGAGGTTTGAGGCCCTTCTGCAGCGATGGCCCTTCGCGGTGAATCGAGTCGATGATTCGCGAGAGCGAAGTGACTCACTAGCCTCGCTTTCTTCGCGAAAAAAAATCCCTGCCGAGGAAACCTAAGCAGAAAGTGAAATTGTTCGGAAGCGGACACTGAAGCAGACTTGATCGCCCGGGGTTGAGGAAACCAGCGGATTGAGATATCGATTGAGCGCTTGGATGATCACTCCTTCAATCGGTAGATCGATCAGTGAAAACAGGGAAAATTCATTAAACCCATATCATGGATGACTTCGCCGGCTTAGAAATGACTGCGACTTCAAACGGCTCAGGCTCGAACGGTAAGTAGCCTGTAGAGGGAGGGATCTGCTGATACGAGCCATCATACTCACATGTCGCGGGGATGCTCTTAGAAGTTTCTCAGGTATCAAGGTCAAGGGCTCGGGGTCGGTAACTCCGCTATTGTGTGTTCCGCTCTTCACGAGGGCGAAGATTCCATACCGATTGAGACGGACAGCCGCTCTATATTTCATGGGTTAAAATAAATGGACAGACTGAGAACGCGGGCTGAATCTTGAGTTTCTCGATCGCTTGCCGCCGAGCTTCGGAAACCTTGGGCACCTGATGACTCAACCTGAGCTCCGCTACGGGTTTCGGGGGATTCCGGCTTCTTGGAAAGGCGGTTCGGGGCCTTCCCACCGACGCCTCGGCCCGCGAGGACATCCTCCCGCAGAGCGCATGACGTCGGACGCGTTGGTGTCCACTGAGATCGGACAATATACACATGAGCTTCTCTATCCGACAGCCCTCGGACTTTCCGTCTAGCTCTGAATTTTTCCGACGTGATGCGACCGACGCAAGGAATCCGAGACGTCGATTTGAACATTGCAGATTTCTGACAAGTCGACATCGCCATAGGTGCGTCGAAGTAATTAAATCGGCCACGCCCCCTGGGATCCCATGGCGGTCATGCTCATCATCCGCACTGCCTTGGGGAACGGGGAAATTCTCGGAGACTCCCGCGAAGTTCGCGGCAGACTGGATCGTCCCAGTCTGGCGATGAATACGGAAGCGACGAGAAGCTGAAAATATCAGGTCGCTGTTGAGGATCATCTGAGAGGTGAAGGACTCGATAGCATCGTCGCTGCAAGCTCCACGTATTCGATGGTTGCTTAGATTGGGATCGGCGCGAATTTTTCTCTTCAGTTGGCAAATCTCTGACATCTCTCTCGCTTGAAGCTCCGAGTTTGATCCGATTCAGGTCTCTTTTGCTCTGTCATGATCTGTCGGACCGGCGCCGCGGTCATTTTTGCTCTAGCGAGAAGCGTGAGTGGAGCTCTCATGCGATGAGGTTCTGAAAACTCTCAAACTCCGTGCGGGAGGTAAAGGCTCTCGAAGCTAGCTGTTAGCTTCACAGAGGAATTTCCTGCGATCTCGCGACGTGGATGACAATGGTACCTGCATCACCGTGTCAGCCGGCGTTGCGACGCGAGTAACATCCGAGGTGATGATCATCGCACCCATGCTCGTCAGCGGAGTGGCAAACGAGATTTCTCTTAACACGTTCGTTTACAATATGCGGTTCCCTATAATGAGATACTATGACGACTGGCGTCGGTCGTTGCGGAATCTTTCAGACAACGGTTTTACGATGACGAAGAGGCCGGTCCCAGAAGCGACGAGTTTGTTCATCTCGCTGCTCATGTTATGGACACGGAAACAGCGCTCTATCGTTGGCTTATGTGACACGAATCAAACCCTCCGTCTGGAGGAACGCTTCGGTCATCAAATCTCACATTTGTTTGTTATGATAGTCGCGCAGGGGTTTTGAGTTTCCGCCGGGCTCTAGTATCTAATTCCGCGGGAATGTTCGAAGGGTTCACTGATTCCATCGATCTGTCCCGAGGATCAAGGTCCGTCGCCGGCAATCTTCAGCCGTGGGCGAATCCTCTGTCTTGGTTTAGAATCCTTCCGTCGAGGACCATATATCCGAGCCAGAGTGGGCTATCCTTGCTTGGAGAAAGATTCATCGGATTCGCTTTGCTCCGGGATCTCATGTCTTGACAAAGCTCGGAATACCCTGGGTATCCGGTCTTCATCGGTGTGCGCAAATCGGCAATTTAGAGAGACAAATTGTCGTACGATCCCGGAAAGCGTATTTCTTTTCGCGCTCGGATACGGATATGCGCTTCCAAAGTCGAATTCCTCGAATATTTCCAAGGAAAAAACGAAATTCTAGTCAGGGAGTGAACTGATTCCGCAATGTCTGCCTACTTTCCAGAAAAAGTGAATCGTCAATTAGCAGATATTAAGAAAGCCTGTGTCATCCTTGGTGAAGATGAAACTGAAGACCCAGAGCTGGTTCGTGATTTGGAGGTGAGTTTCTCGAGCAGCAGTCATTTTTCGCATCAACGTGCCCCTTGAGAAGTCGCTCCGGTTTCCCCCCATCATTCCCCCTCCTGATCAATGCCCGCTTGGCTCTCACAGTGAGGGTACCGCTTGTCTTTAGTGGATCATTCATCCTTTACAGAACATGGGTCTTTCGGTACAGTTTTGCAACACCTCTCAGATAGAACTCCAGCGGAACGACAGCAAGACAATCATAGTGCAGGACTTCTCATCGTTTCTGGAAACCCGTGACCCAGTGCTGCTGTATTACGGTCCGACTTGCATCAGAAGGGAGGCGACTCTCACCCCGCCTGACCAGAAACCTCAGCTGCCTTTCTCGGGACATTCGATGCTCACGACTCTACTCATCAACTACAAATGTTGCGTGCAAGTCCCGAAGAAGAGTCAGGCGAAAGTCAGAGCCCAGGTCTACGCGTTAGGGGGTCGTTTCTCGAAGAAATTCCACGAGGCTACCCTGTTGATAACCCCGTACGCATATGGAGACCAATATAAACTCGCACAGAATTTCCGAATTCCCGTTGTGACCCCTGCCTTCGTCGAAGACCTATGGAAAATAAGGGACAGTCTGGATTTCGTGGTGACGCAAGATTTCGTAGAAAAACACCGACTCCCTGTGTTCTCGAGGCTGAAGATTCTCTTCTACGGTTTCGAAAGCAGCCTCAGGGACGAGCTCACTCATCGAGCGAGAGCGAACGGCGCCGCGATCGTCAATCAAATATCTCGGGAAGGAACCTACATCGTCGTGGTCAAGCGGGAAGCCTGCTCGGTTGAGGATCTCCTCGATCTAGACCAGAAAATCGCGCCCGAGTCCACGATTGTGTACGACGATTGGTTCCACGAGTCGATCAAAGAAGGCTACGCCCTCTGCGAGAAGCAGGAGAAATTCAATGTCCGACGGACGGCGCTGCAAGGAATACCCCGGACAGTATGTAGTCCGACCGGAGGACGGAAAAGAAACGCGGAGGCGAGTCCGGGAATGACTCCCAAATCTAAGAAATCCATGGAGATGGATCGATACCAAATCCTGTCCCCGAGAGTCCGGGAAGTCGCTCGCTCGGAGGTCAGTCGCTCGTCGTCTGCGGGGTGCTCACCCGGCGGAGCAGCGTCACCGATCCGACGTGAAATGATCACCGATAGACGACATCACATCCTCCTGGAACTCCGAGACACCGAGAAGAATTACCTGGAGGTGCTCCGTTTCATCATGCGACAGGTCGATACGAAGCTCTGCGTCCGTGAGAAGAAAGGCGGCGGTTCGGTTGGCTCTACGGTAACCCCTAGCGGGGACAGCATGTGTGCTCCTGCGGTCCCGGAAAAAGAGATAATTACTCGCTTCGAGAAACAGGAGATCTTCAAAGAGATTCCGAACATCATCTCGCTCCACGAAGTGCTGCTGCAGAGGATCGAAGATGCCATCAACGTCATGGATTTCAGGAACATCGCAGCGATTTTCCACGGCGAAGATGCGTGCGGCATCATTCCCGATCCCGACAACGCGAGCAAGACTGTGCGGAGACGTGCGTCACGCAGGAATCAGGAGAGACCCGTCAAGGAGAATAACATTGTGGCTGCGTATGAAACGTTCTTGAACGGATTGGAGACGATCGTCGAGCGCGTGAAAACGTTGACCGCGGAAAATCCGCAGTTCGCCGAGTTCGTGAAAGAGGTCGAGCGTCAACAGGAGTGTAAACGCGAGAAGTTTCTCGAGCTTCTGATTCGGCCCGTTCAGAGGTGGCCTTCGATAGTGAACATCCTGAAGAGCTACAGCATCGAGAGCGAGAAACTCGCCAAGAAGATCGAGCAGGAGGCAGATCCTGACGACCCGCAGAGGCGTAAAGAAGCGGCACAGGTTCGTCTTGGTGGTCAGGATGCGCTCCGAGTTTGCCGCTTCATTCAAGCCTCGCTCATGCAAATGAACGAATCGAAGCACCAAACCGCTCAAATCTGTGAGGCTCTTAAGACTCAGAGTCTGATCGAAGACATCCCGGTGAGTGATATGAGATACTCCGTAGGTCGACCATCATAGTAGAGCTCGTCTCAAACGTTCATCATGGAGTTTCCATGGAGAATTACCTCTTATCAGCCGTACTCTCGGTCATAACAACCCACTGAATATGTGTCCTTCGTTCTGTAGGCGATGTATTGGTCCAAACAGTACACTTTGTCTCATCAATGCGATGCAACCCTCATTGGAGTTTCGGAGTCATACCCTCAAGCTGCGGGTCAGAAATCGCTCAAGAACGTTGAAGTTGTGTGTTTCTTGTTTTCACACGGTCTTGAGGTGAGTCCTTTGGCTCAGGTCACTTGTCAATTCATTCCGTGAGAAATGAGTCGCTCATATTGATGGTGTTTTCCTCGACTCATCGAAATCCGGCTCTCCGCAGATCGCCCGCAAAAAAATTGGGAAACACCACATCAAGCCGTATAAGCACGTCGCATTCATTCACTTCGACAAAATGTACTCGATAATCGACAGCTTGGATTCGTCCCTCAAACGATACCTTGAAATCGTATTCCGCGAGCAGCGCAAGTGAGTTGAGATCAAAATGGTAGCTCACCGAATATGAAAGGTATAAGCAGGCCCAAAGCTTGGGACGGAAGCGGATCGAGACTGACGGAAGAGGTTTCATGGCAGGAACTACGCGGTCTGCGAGTCTGAATCGGACACAGTCTCCCTTGGAGGTGGATCCGACCTGGTTGGACCGGAAACTACCGAGGAGCGAGTTCTGCTCGACCTGAAGGATGTCGCGAGCAAGGACGGTCTCCTCAAGCTAATGGAGCAGGAATACAAGGTGAATACTGTTGCCTCTCCGGGATCCGTCTCCTCATGTCATCCGAACGGGGGTCATGGTGTTCAACAGGCCGCTCATCTCTCAAATTCTTTTTATTTTTAGTCTTTCGCGCGCATCGAGCGCATTTCGGTATCCGAGCGTAAAGAAGGAGTACGGACCGATTCCCTGCTGCTCAACTTGCCGACCGGGTCTCACGGTACCACGCCAGTGACGCAATTAGCTAGGTGAATAGGCGTAGACCAAGTATCCCTCGGCTTATCCAGCTCCTTCTTCGATCCGACGGGTCTGAATTTCCCGGCTCATGCGCTTTTCAACCCCTTCAGATCGCTGTCCAATGTACCAGAAATGTCGACCCCGAAGAAATTGACCCGCTCTTTCAGCAATCTTATCAAGAGGGGTTTCCAAATCGGCAGCAAGGTGATTTCCTTTTCTTCATGATTGCTCTTGAAATCATTTTTTTTTGTCGTGACCGATCACTCATCGGTCGGATATTTCTGCTCGGTACACGCAGAGCCGAAACGATCAGGAACGCTTAGGTTCCTTTTTTTTACCACGACGTATGAATCGAGATTGAGACGGTTTGTCGCTTCCTTCCAGCAGCGTGAGGATGTACCGTCATCCAACTCGCCGTCAAGTTCGAGCATCGGTCCTCTCAGCCGCAGCCGACATACTGTGAGTATATCAACGACTTCCTTAAGACCTCGCTTCTTCGGAGGCTTGAGTCCTTCATCTAATCAGCATCGTTCTTCAATGTCGCTGCTATTACGGGAGAATTCCCCTGAGAATCAGCCCCCATCGCAACCCGATGAAAAATCTGAAGTTGACACGAAACCGAACGCCAAACGCAAAAAACTCGATGGCGGATTCGCGCTGCCCGTAGGTCGAGCCCCCATCTCTCCTAAGTGGGTTAGGCGGTCTCTGAGTATTCCGAGAAAGAATCAGGGTTCGAAATCCGACAAACTATAAGCGTGATTTGACTCGAAGTCTGACTGCGCCTATGGTTCAGTTCATGAGCGTTCATTACTGCTTTGGATCTCGACCGCTCGCGGAGCCTCTACTCGAGGTGTATACTGTTATTTGCGCCAAGCAAAAATTATTGATACCGATTGGAGTCACGTCGATTGGATCAGCGGTGTGTATGTGTGTATGATCAGCATCCGTCATCATTCACACAAGATCTAATGTCTCACTCATCTGAACACATCACCACTTGTCCACACTTTGAGCTGCGTCCCGCTTTGTCACTCCCACCGCTACTAAAACCACATCACTCGGCCAAGTACCTTCTGTCATCCATTCCTATCTGATAGCGTTCACGGATAATTGGTCGTATCAATTGGACACTCGTAGCGAGAATTGTAAACTCGAGCTTGAGCCCAAGACTCATTCGGATCTTCCAGCACGGCCCCTAGTTCGAACTGTGTTCATAGGAAGTTATCTATACAAGATTTGAGAAGGATGAAATTTACCAATGCGGTTACATCAGATATAGAGAGGGATAAACTTTTGTCTGTTCGTGTGAATGTTTGTTCCCACCTTCATTATACCGAAGTCTGCTTAATAACATTTCGTGTATTTATTCAGTTCGAACATTTTGTGTTTTCTCTTTGCATGTAAACTTTCCGGACATTATCCTAAAGATAGACTATCGCTTTTCTGCATGCGTGAACGGCAGATACATACATTGGATGAATGATTGGACGAGAACTATAAGAGAAAGAATATTCGAGCACATCGTAAGTTGAGCGTGATTCCCTTGAGTCCGGGTCTCTTCCTCGCTCTTATCCAGGTCCGGGTACGTCTGGATCTCATGAGATTTTTACAGAGGAACTCGAACACTCTGATTCACTCTCCCCATCCACGTTCGTGTCTAGAATAATTCAGTGGGGCTGCATGCGTGGACTCGATAAATGTCGTGTACGAGGGATCAGATCTGAGTGAGAGCTTCGCGAATCCTCATGCTCCATGATTCCATTGGCTCCCAACAAAATGTATCGTTTGGAGCCAATGAAATCGCACGGTCTAGCTTCTATTCGGGCACCGAATTGATGCGCGACCCAGATGACTTAGCGAGAGAAGCTTATCGTTTATGAAGAAGGAACGCGGGTGCCTTGATATCGTCTCTCTGGGATGCGACGCGGGTCCTGTCTCATGGACTCAAAAGTCATGTCGGTTTTCGACATTGCGGAAGGGAACCATATATTCACGCGCATGCAAAGACAACCGCTCCGAGTTTGTTCTGAATCAAATCTGTTTCATCCGCAGGCGTTGCCTCGGTGCATGTCAAGCTGTGCTGGCTCGTCTTCCGACTCTTCTACTAACTCCAAGTACCATTTCTTTTCGTTGTCTCCGTTGAGTCGACGCTTGGATTTGCTCGTGTTGGAAACCCTATCGTCTGTGATGCCTTCCGCGCCCACGTCCGCCTCGACGACCTCCTACAATTTCGAGCCCGACAGCAACCGCCGGCGCAACAACAAAAACAACACTGAAAGTCATTTTACAAGCACAACGAAGGTTGAGCCCACCGCCGCGTCGCCCGTCAAGCTCAAAGCGATTTCAAGCACAAATGGGGAACCCTCGAATGACATACCCGCAAAGGCTCCTGAGCAATCGCTGCCAGTCAACAATCGTAGCAATAGCAACAAATCTAAGGCCGTGATCAGCAACGGCAACGGTCCTAATAAAAATCATAGTAGAAACAAAGACAAGAGGAAATCGAAACGCAAGTCATCGAACTTTTAAAACACTCTTGTCAATAGCCCAGGTTAGTTCGGAGAACCCGGGAAGGAAGCGAAGATGGAATCGTCGGATTCCCTCACTGGTACTTCAACACAGCTTCACCACTGCGGACCCTCCAGAATGATCTTCAGCTTTTCATTCGTTACAGTTGCATCCGCTATTGGAGAACACGACCATGAACGGAATGGCCACAACTCGAGTTCGTGCCAGTACAATGCCAGCAAAGCAGTACCATAACGGTACCATTAGTCGAAAAATGAGAAGCAATCAGTGAGACAGATTCTCGGACACTTGTCGGATTCATGATGATTTTCGCGCTCTCCGCGAATTATCGAATACTCATCGAACGAGCGGATGAAGAAGAGCTCAAGTGAATCTGACAATCTGCGAAGCAGCGCTTCCCTACTCCGCGAACTCTTCACCAAGTGAGAATGCCCTTGTGATAAGCGAGAGCCAAAGAACTCCTCCGAATATTCAGTCTTATCGTCTGCTCAGCCATCGAAGATCCTCTTTACGGATGCGACGGGCCCCCGGAACGTCAATGAGCCGCTCCCTCGAAGCGTCAATCTCGGAATGTTTTACGATCGGTCCCTTGTCTCAGGAGACTCCGCTGGGTTTTTGAATAATTTTGGGTTATCCATTCGATTATGAGAGGTTCAGAATTGACGCCTTGGCGACCGGAGTCGGAGCCACGGTTCCGAACTCAGCGATTCGATACCTCAATGATACCGCGGAATAATTGTTCTCCTTACGATTAATCATGATATTCAGCGGAATTATCGTGCAGATTCATTAATATATTCTCGCTCACATGCTTGTATATAGATATAAGGAGAGGTTGACGTTCGCAGCATTGATGTTTCATATACAGATATACTCCAGTGTGCTCATTTGCATGCGTTGTCTCATGAAAGCTCACGTCACGGACGCGCGTGTCTTTTTCGCCTATTTGGTCCGATTTTTGTAGCTCGTTGTACGAGAGCAGAATTATGACGAGAGGTCCGAGTCAGAAATATACATATAACCACGCTATTGTCCGCCCGAACATTTGAACTCAATCGAGTGACCCTCGCCGGATCTCGGTGGGCTATCTGATGATGACGATAAGCTGTGTAAATAAATAATTCTGGAATGGGAAAGAATGTAAATAAAATCGTTGAGTTTCGCGTTGGAAGAAACGATTCGACTCGTTCTCGCGTCGAACGTTGTACGACCGTCGCGGGTTTTTGAGTTCTCCAGGCTTTGACATGAATGGAGTTTATTTCAGCATGATATTATCTAGATGAGACAGAATTTCTCGTTGACCGACAATTGCGCCTTAGTTATCATTGTCAAGAAGGTGACCATGAGAAGATCCTTCATGTCACCATTGAGAACTTCCTGGAATCTTTCATTGTCCATCTTCGGAATCGAGTGCATCATATCCATTAGGAGTCTGCCAACCGAATTGTCGGCTTCTCTGCGGCCCGCGAGGACATCGTCGACGTATCTGCAAAACGGAAGACGCATCATGATAGTTCATGCGGCAAAATCTATATTTTTCCGCCCTCGGAGGCGGGCGGAGGGAAGCGCGTGTCGATGCTGCGTCATATACATACGGTACTCACGTCATGACAATTTTGAGCATGGAACGCATTTCTGAGCAGGCTTCGATTACGGTGGCTAACTCTGAAGGGAGGGCGACGCCTTGAGTGAGACGGCTACTCTTTGTTCTCTTGCACAGCCGCAGAGCGACCATTTCCTCTTCGTAGCCCTGGATTTCGACTTTGCAGGGCGGGAACATAGTTCCGATCGTTCTATTTGGAACACCGAAGCTGACGCCCAAGTAGGCTTTGATACCCATCCGGGCGTCGCTCTCTTTCATCGTGGTATCGACTGTGAGGTGCACGGGCGGATTCTTCGTCAGAGAGCAATAATACGAGTGTATCAAAACTGAGGTGTCGGTAATTTCAGCGCCAGTCGCAAACCACCCGATGACCTGTTCAGTCGGGTTCACCCGAAAGTGGAGTGCTGTAGTTGTCTTGGCGTACTCCATATCCAGGGCCACCTGTAAGCGAGAGAAATGAATTATTAGGAGATTCTCGCTAATGCTGACCGCAAGGAACTACAATCCTTGGAGAATGCAGAACGAAATCCCGGCCGGAGGGAAAGAACGCAGATCCAATTAGGGTGTTCCCCGCCCTAATGACGATCTTTCGAGCACTCGATCTTTCGAATTCGATTTTGTGATCGGAGAGCTCTCGTCGGGAATAGGATCGCTGAGAAGATGAGCGGCATCGATTCCGTCAAAGGTAACTCCTCGGCGGAATCTCCAGAAGTGATCTGTGCGTATCAGGCTGTGAAGACTTGTCATCTAGCGGTTTCGGAACCGTTCTCTGGCGAGGAGCCGAGGCGGTGTACGAAGAGGCGATACTCTGAGCCCCCGACCGAGTGTAATTCAGTAGTTCGGATCCGCCATCTGGTACACATAAGGGAGCTAGCCTTACTCGAGGAATATATTCGACTAAGTGAAGGGAATACAAAGTACCTCTTTGCCCGTTTCACTGTGGTTCACATGGAAAGCACTGGTTACTTCAACAGCTCCCTTGGCATAATCGAAAGTTCCTAGGAGTGTACCGATGACACGGTCCTGGGCCTGGGGTCGGTGTTCGTACGAGTCGACGATGGTGAACAGAGCCGTCGGATGTATCCGCACAGTGTTGATCTTCGGCATTTTTAGGACACGTCTATATCATCCAAAGGTATCACACAAGGACTAACACGACAGCGGGAAAATGCAATCGAATTCTGAAGCTCAGCCCGGCAAGCGAAAACGTGCCGACGATGAAACCGTGATTCTGCCTGTAGCTATCGGCGCGGCGGCCGCTCGCTCCCGACATGAGTCAAACACACACCGACCCCGATGAACGCATCCCTGATATCGGGCGCTAAATTCGAAACGGCCTCACTCGGTGAGATTCGGCTTGCGCGATCCGGAATCAACGATAGGACATGAGTAGGGCTCGAATTCCGTCGCGGCTTTTTGGCCGGAAATTCGCGGCATTTTCAGGCTCCCTTGGACATTCCATGGGAAGATGCCCTGCAATGCGACGGAAAATCGCGGTCATGGTCACGGACTGCGACGGAAGTCGAGCCCTAGACATAAGTTATGTACCTGCCTATTATCATCTCACAAGCGGAAAACTTCTCTCCTCTCCCCCTCCTGAGTCCCCTGAGTCATGAAGCGAATTCCACTCCGTCTGATCCGTATCAGATGTATGAGAGTAAGGCCTGGGATCCCGATCCGTGACAAAGTCAAATTCTTACCGAGGGTATCCACATTTTCTGAGAGCTTCTTCGCATTCTTGTTTTTTTATTCTGCACCTGATGACAGGAGAAGGGGGCTTGCGATTGCATTTGAGCATAATCTAAATTCTGCTTTATTGTAAAAAATAGGATAGATTTTTCGCTAGGGTCTCCGCTCTCAGAATCGGTGAGCCAAGGTTGAAGCTCGAATTTCTTCGTCGTTGACGTCATAGTCTCTCATCATTCGATCTATCAACCACCACCGACCGAAAGCGCCGAAATCAACAACTCTCTCTGTCAACATTTCGAAATAAGTCGGCTGGAGGAACGAGCACTGAGCTGGATACAGTTCGCATTGCGGGTCTTGAGATTCACGTATCAGCAAGGAACAGACGATGAGATCGTACACTTCCAGCCGCTTCTGATTGAGTAATCTGTTAATTTCTCTCAAATGATCTTCAGAGATCCGGTTGCGGGTCGCCTTCCCCACGAGGGCCATTTCGTTGCACCACTCGATCCGCTGATCCAGGAAAGTATCCATGCTGGGGTTCGTAGCGATCGCAGCGCTGGTCACCGCCACAACTGGAAAATGACGTCGTTAAGATTTACTCCGATATGGAGACGGAAGGTCGGCCGAAAACCCCATCGGATGTCGAAAAGAGAAAAATAAGGAAAGGCTAAAATCTTGACGGTGGGAGACTTTCTCGCTATCGTTTTCTAGCTCAACATCGCCGAGCATAGGCCGATTCGGGTTGGGTCATCGTCGACAGGATCCCGATTGATCCACGCGAATCATCCTGTCCCGCCATGAATCTGTCTTCCATACGAGAACGATATCTTCGGCGAAGAAGGGTTCTCACCTGCACCGTACACAGCTGCTTTGTAGGGTCTTGCCTTCGCATCCACAACGCCGTCTTGCAAAGCTGTCTTGTAGTCATCCCGTATGAGTTTGAGGTAGTTCACTGAAAAGATATCCGGTGATCTGAGATAGACCAAGAGACTTATCTGGCGCGTTCGAAATCGATGCGCGGAGTCTTCTCGTCTTCTCCGCCAGAGGCCATCGCTTAACCCATCTCTGGAACGGAAGATTGCGCTGGGACTCGACAGCGTACGAAGGAACGTACCTCCTTTCTCTATCCGTCCACCTTTCAGCTTGTCTGGGAGAGCTATTTTTGATGAAATTTGAGAAAATTTCTCCCCAAATAGAACAACAGAACGGCGCCAGGCGGCCGCCATTTTGCCAAAACAACCTACCTGCTGACCATAGCAGACAGCGGAAACGATGTGTATTGACGTATTCTGGGAGAACTCGGTCTCGCGATCCTCTCCTCTGCACTGTCCTATGCTGACGACAGAGCCGGCATATAGATTCCGTTGCCGTTTATTTGTTGAGGCCTCGACTTATGACCGTCCGAGCCGAGTGTCTTCTTCTCTCTGGATGGGACTGCTTTCCTGAGCTGCATCCTTCAGAACGAGCTCTCCGGATCGGTCAGCCGCTAGGCCTGCATCATCGTTCTATCGACTTCCCCTCCGGTGTGATCGAGCTGCGGGCTCGACCTGCGCTCAGTGATTCCTGCCCCACCGTCGGGCGAGTGCGAATGCGGTGACGAGGTCCTATTCCGAAGCGAGAACCGTCTGTTTAACTCCTGTGATTTCCAATCTGGCGCCATCCTAGGCGCCGCCTGTCACGCTTTTTTCCCCGAATCCGTCTGGTGATGTCGTTGCTCAATGAAGACCAAATGGCTGAGCCCCGGCCGAAATCGCTCTTCAGCCTCGATTACTACAAAATTTATTTCGATGTCAAAGGGGATGAGGTTTTGCAGCGGACGATCGCCTCCTTGTATCCACTCAAAGGGCATTTGGAGCGGAATATACGAACGAACCCGGACCTATACGGTAAGCGGTCCCACGGTGTTATGTCTGACACATTCGACTGATTGACCGATGGTGTCAGAGATAAGATCCGAGAGAAATCATGTGATTACTATGAGGTATCTCAGCGATCAGGAGCCTCGCGAACTAACTCCTGGACCTTTCTTTGCTCTCTCGGTCTCGAAATCCCCCAAAACGGCCTATCTCTTTGCAGGTCCCTTATGGATAAGCGTATCGTTGATCCTGACATCAGCTATATCCCACGGCATCGCTCAGTTCATTGAGAATGCCACCAGCTGCGTCGCTGTCGACACCGACATGCGAAGAACGTCGTTCGTGATGACAACAGTCTTTTTGTATACTTTCCTTCTGCCGACATCTCTATGGGCCTATCTCAAGTTCCAAAACGCCGAGACGAGACAGTCTTTGCCGAGCTATATCTGTCTCTATGGATACTCATTAGCCGTCTTCATCCCAATATCGGTGAGAAGTCTTCCCTGCTCAGGTCAAGTAATCCACGCGTTGCCTCTATCCGAATAGCTGTGATAGAATGTTCCGTTCGCAGATTCTATGGGTGCTCCGCATCCCGACTATCATGTGGCCTGTCATGTTGGGCGCAGCGCTCATCACCGCGTATTCCTTAGTGAACTCACTCTGGCCATCCCTGGAAGGTCTTTCGACTTTGCGCTCGAGGTTCATAGTTTCTTTCATCGTGATCGTTCTCCACGTCGGGCTGGCTGTGTCCCTGGGTTCGTATGCTTTCGAGCCATCGAGAGTACATCCAGCAAGAATCATCAAACCCGTCGCACCTACGGCGGCCCCGACCGCACGGAGTTGAAAGAGAAATTCCTCATAACACAGATGAGCCAGGAGAAGGCTCCGAATAAATTGCTATTTTCCCGAACTCGCTGACTACTTTGACGGAACAATTTCTCTCGCTGGGATCGAGACGAAGCCTGGGCGGCTCAGATATTTTGGAAGAGAAGTTTTAGCACCGCTCCGGACAGCGGGATGATCAATAAAATTGGTGCGTTCATGATGGATGATGAGAAAGCGCCGACAAGACTGGAGCTCCTTGTCCTCCTTCTCGAGTAAGCGGGCGTTGGCAGTTTACCACGGCATTCTTCATTTTATTGTAGGATGATCAGAGAAAAATTCTCTACTATTCCGACGATAAGATTGAGCTCGAATTCGCACACACTCTGATTCGAGATGTCCTACGTCTCAACACGAGGGCTCCAAGACTGTAAAAATTGCTCTGCGTCTGCATTGGCTTCATGCACTCACAGCAGTAGAATGTTTTTTTGCCCAATGTACAAGAGTTGACACGGAATGCCCTGGATGTACCTGTATTACACTCTCCACCCCACGGTCTTCATCTGCGGTCTGCTCGGACGATAACAATAATTTCCGTCCCTGCACCATAAATTAAGAGATTAAGGTACGTTGTAGATTCGGTCGCCGTTCTCAGTCAGATGGGACGATTTCAGGAACGAAGCTCCGATCCGAAGACGATTGTGATATTGCTTCAGATACGCTCAGGTATCAGAGTCGGTCATCGAGAGCAAGCCCGAGCAGAACAACAAAATATGCTCACGTCGAGTATTTGATGCTTCTCGAACCGCTTTGTCAATCCACGGCATGTTTCAGAGTGATGTGCCGACTGATATAAACTTGATGTCTCGTCTTATAGTCGCATCTCGGACATTCGAAGAGCTGCCCGTTCGGATTCTGGCCATGGTCCGCTAGCTTGTGCTCTTTGAGTGCGCTTTCGTCCGCGAACGACTGTAAAAACGGAGATTAGCTCGAAATTGGTTCCGGCCTCGATTGAGTATCGCACGCGTTCAGACTGAATATTTCACCACTCACCCGACTACAGATCATACAGGTCACGACTTTATGGCTCTTGACGTGGAAGTCAAGGAACTTCTGGGTGTGGGTTTTGTAGGCGCATTGAGAACACTGGAGGTTCTTTGGTAGGATGATGACTGACCCCAGGCTCTGTGGATTCCAATTACAGCACATTTTGACTTCGACCGAATTACGGCAACGATAAGGCCATATCGCACGAATTGTTGCGAGCCGAGAACGACTGGATGCGTCTCCTCCGTTTAGTTCGAATTATGAGGCTCATGCAAACAGACTCACCGAAGGCTCCGGCGAAGCAGTCGAAGCAGACCTGGACCGGCCCGCTTGATTCTCATCTACACTCGATCCGGGAGTTTCCTCCGAAGGCTCGGCTCTGTCGCTCACAGCAGGGGAAGTGCCGTCGATATTTTCCAGAGGGCGAGATGGATTCGATTTCTTCGGTACATTGGGTGAAATCGAAGGTCTGATTCTCAAAGTTCTCATAGATCGACTCGAAGTCGGTTGAGTACTCCCTTCCGATGCTTCGGGATGATCTACCCCGCTCGCTTGGAGCGAAGAGGTTTCATGAACGGTCTCACTGCATACTTTCCTCGCGATAACTTCGGGGGCTAAACTCCGACGCGATGGTTTCGGAACGCGACGCCGAGAAGAATTTCGAGTTCCGCTCGCAACATCAATCGAACCCGTTTCGCTGTCCTGCCTCGAACCGGGGGTGTCGGGGGTCCTGAGCGGACAGGAGGACGATTCCGTTCCGCGGGATTCAAGGAGACTCTTCCCAGCTCTCTCGATTTCCGAATCACAGAGTTGAACGTCGGGGATTCCCCGAGGATCCGACAGGGTCGGAGAAGGTTCGCCGTCGACGTCTTTCTGTAGATTTGATTTCGCGTCGACCGATTCATGTGACGATCGCCTGGCCACTGGGGTCGGGGTCAGGACAGCTTTCGCTTTCGAAATGAGTAAAGGTTTCTTCCTGGCATTGAGGTTCGGTCGAAGGCTGCTCCTGCAGAGAGGAGTGACTTTCATTGTAGAGGGTTTGTTGCTCGGCGGAGAAGTGCGTCTAGGTAAAAGGCAGTCGTCGCGCTCTGCCGACGTAGCAGTAGGAGTCGCGGGTGAGGTAAGCTCGGTTTTCGTGAGATCAATGAAAACTTTTGCGTCATCGTCCCCAGTGAGATCCTCGTACGCGGGAGGTCGTTCCTCTTCGTCTTCCGCTCCACGTGAAAGGGCGATTCTCTGCAACTTCGTGGAGCTGACTTCGGGAGTGGCGAAATTCTTTTCCGCCTGAACATCCAACGGCTCTTCGGCATGCTCTTCAGGAGCGGAAGAGGAATCTTCCACTAGCATCGGTTCTTGGTCGACCGTTGAAGGCGCCGGGGACGGCCCCGACACAGGATCGACGGGAATTTCCTCCTCGATCACATCGAGGGAATTCACTTCTTCGACTTGCATGCCCTCGTCGGTGATATCGAAAGACTCTATCGTCTGAGCGTACGGGGCAGAACTGAGGAGATTGCCGCTAGTATCGGCTGTCACAAGTCGTCCTTGCAACAGTATTGAATGGTGGTGTGTAGATGATCGAGGATCAGAGATTTCTGGGGGTTTGGGCAAAACCAGCACAGCGGCCGATGAGGGCGCGACGGCCCTGCGCCGTGTCGAGTCGCCGTCGGCTGTTCCGCCCTGTTTCAATGGGGTCTCGGCGAGCGGTTCGCTAGGTTCGCCCGGGGCTCGGATCTCGGCGTCGATCCCCTTCGGATCTGAGCGTGAAGGGCTCGTTTCTTCGGGGATCTCCCTCATGACAGAAGCAATTTGATCACTGAGAGCTCCCACATAGCTTTGCACCGAGGATGAAGACGTGGCGCCTTCGGAATTCAGAGGAGTGAAAGATGGGAAGTTCATGGGAGAGACGTCGACACCTCTTTGGATGGAATCCGTTATGACCTGAGAAAGTTACGCCGGGTTTGGATGTGGATGGAGAAATGTTCGCGAGTCCCCTGCCGAATCGGAATGTGGCTCCCTCGAGGCATGTCCCTCGAGTACATTCCGAGGGCGGGCTGTGTCGAATTGAATTCACGAAGCACTGTCGATATGTCCTTTCCTCACCTTTTCCAGCTGTGAGACAGATGGTATACTGATTTGCTTTGGTGGCCGACCTCTGGTTGCCGCTCGAACGACGATGGAAGTTGACATGCGGGGCGCAGCGAGGGCCTGCGTTCCAGGATTTCGTGGCGTTGCGGCTGGGAGAGGGGGCAAATGCAATCAAATCGAACAATCCTCAAAGAGAGTCCCCACGAATATCATTCGGAAGTGAGAAAATACTGACAACTCGGTTTCGAAGTCGCCGGAGAAACGCTTCTCCCCAGGAGTCCGCTCAGGATCGGCTGGACTCTGTTATCGTCCGCGAGGGAGCCTTGATGACTGGAAGGAAAAAACAATTCCATATCACTCATAATTTCTCCCAGGTCGGACGATCGATGCGAACAATAAGGTCAATTCTTTATTTCGGAACCAACCTATCAGTTTTGGCGAGGAGTTTCGAGGGGATGACCATTCGAGGTGGTACGAGGGGCTCTTTCGGTGTTGGTCTCGGTGCTGTGAAGTGGTTGAATATGGCTTTTAGGGAATTCCCTTCCACGCAGGCGATGCTGGTCTGGAAAATTAGGGCTAGGAATAGGGAGAAATGTCCCCACCTGGCTTAGCTCTCGAGGAAGAAGGTGGCGGCGAACTCCGGGCCGGTGCTGTCACAACTCTCGGTCGGTGGTCGCCTTCTATGGGCGACGCACGGCGAGCCATCGGGGCGGCAGACGGAGCACGAGCAGTCGCTGACGATTCCTGAGCTGTGATTTTATCAGTAGCAGAGCCTGCAGGAAAAGAATTCATGCTGACTGGCGGGGGCCTAGAGAATGCCTATCCTCCGCGGACGATATATCGTAACAGCCGCGGAATTCCCCACGGCTTTATTCCAGACTTCATTTGACACTGCGGATAGAATTTCCCCTTTCTAGTCGGTTCCCGGATTTAGGCAGGAGCCCGATTGCCCGGAACACGAGATCTGCAAGGAGAAATGACGTGAGAGGGGAACACTGGACCAGACGCGAATCCGGATGATATCCGGGCTTAATCTGCACGAGGTCTTGCGGAATAGTCGGAAAACAAGAGAGCCGGCTTCGGTGGGACGCAGCCCCAACAATGACCGCTTCACTTTATTCAAGCTGGGAACGATCTCCGCAGTCCTTCACAGCCCCGTGCGAGGATCACAACTCTTCGGAATCATCAACTTCCGTGATATCACCCAATCGTATGAGAATGGCTTGATCATTTTTGTTTGTCGATCGGAGTGCGACCACCTCGTCCTCCTCCGTTTGTTCTCGCTTCCCGCATGAGTCAACTCGCGGTCGGATCGACCATGAAATAGAATCTGGTGGGTAAGGTACAGATCCGTTAAGGATCAAATCAAGGAACCATTGATGAGATCGTCGCGGAGCCCAGCAACGCCCTTCCGAGGCGCCGAGATGATGTCGCGCTTAATTCGACGAGTCCTGCCAGGGCGATCTTTGCGGTATTGGACCATCTGGTGCAAGTCGATCACGTACATGAAGCCAGACACCTGCAGCTCGTACCTAGAAATCGAAAGCGCGAATTCCGATAATTTTGAGAGGATAATGAGTCGGCGATGCTGATTAGATACAAAATAATAATTATTTTGTACTGTGGGATCCCGGAGCCTCTTAGAATTTATGGGGGAAAAGCAGCGTCTCTCTAGTCGGGAACGCTTCTTAATTCAGAGAAAAAATCGGTACTGACTGCGAATCACCCTTTTGAAGCGCTTCCTCGAGTTCCTCGCAATGGCGGTTCTCGAACTGCCACCAGCCGTTGCGGCCTGCGTAGAACCACTGGTACTTCCTATCTGCGTCGGAGCCTCCTTCCGAGTTCCTCGGTACCACGGTCGGCAGCTGCATGTAGCCGATGGGAATCTCCGCTCGACAGTACGCACACCTAGAAAACAGCAGTTCTTCAAACAGACGATTCGCGATCGCAATCCAAGGCATTCGGCGCAACCGTAACGATTCCAAAAAAAATTGCGAGCTCGATACGGACAGCCCCGACATGCCTGGAGAGCAAGCCCGAGCTGCCCGAGCCTCCACAATCGAATTGACTGTCTCAGTCAGTAGATCACTCACCTCCCATGCTGATTGGCGAACCCTTTGGCACAAAGGAAACAGAAGATGTGATTGCACGGCAGTTTTATTGGCAGCTGCGGAGCTTGAAGACAGACCGGGCATTCGTGAGTGTCCGATTCACTCGACGGAGTGGTTGAAGATACATCACAGACTTGAGTCGGGCTTGCGGGTAGGGCCTTCGAAGAGAAGCAAACCGTTATTCGCCCATCTCAGGCAGCAACTCTCTTGTCAGAATTGTCAGGACTCCCCCTCTCTGGGACTTTAAACCCGCGGCGGTGGAGCGCCGCTGAGGAGCGGACTTACGTAGGTGTGATCCATCTCAATTCAGGGGAACACTATCTGCACGACACTCAATTGTTCGCACTCCATGCACGAAAAGGAATGATCGACGACGAACGCTGTTGCGACATCCGAACGTACAGAGGCGATGACGTTTAATACGAACGAACGCTCAGCGCAAGGCGATAAGATCGTTCCGAGCGGCGCCGCTGCCGTTGTAGTGTTGTCCACAGCGGCGCAGTAACTTAGCAGACCGCACGATTCGAAATTGAACTTGGGAATGCTGGCAATGGGTTACATAGCGCGCCTCTATCCGATCGCACCCGGCAAGAGACTTGATCACCCCGTGCCGGTTTCGGGCCTCGCTCCGCAAGTTCCGTTATCCGTCCTCTCCAGCCGGAAAGAAGTCGTCCCTCGTCCGCCGTCGGATGACGTGATGGAGAGGAAGTCGGAGAGGGAAGCGCTGACACGCGGCTGCGAGTAGGTAGAGCCCAATGGGTGCAACACTGATTGTAATCAATGAGACACTTCGATTTCTCCAAACCGAAGGTGGTATTTTCCCCAACTGGCGGAGAAGACGCCTTCGTCGACTCGACGGCTCGCCGACAATGGAGCGTTCCTAGCCTCGCGCGAAAACGAAGCGCCAAAATGCTCGTTTATGCCCCAGTTGAGAGGATGAGGAATCATTGCGACTCCGTCTCGTACTGAAGTGAATTTTCCCCTCAAATTGGGAGCTCAATAAAATCGTGTGTCTTCCGGCAATGATAAAGTCGACCATACTTTGATCAGAACGAATTCTTCCGCTTCACAGCTCCACAAGGGGCTCTTCAGAGTTTAAGAGCTCCGCACGCTGCGAAAGCTCCTCATTCCTTCTCGCATTGAGCACGCCGCATTGACTTCGTCCAAAACTTCTTTCCATAGGTGAAACATTCGAGCTTATACGGCCGCCGTTTAGAAGAGGGTCGTCACCCAGGTGAGTTTACCCTCCCAATCGAGAACCCAAGGGCGGAGTCTCGAAAAGAAAATTAGACTCACGTTCACCGGTGTCTCTGAGGAGGGTTCCGGGCTCCTCCGCTCCCGGGTCGGGTCGTCAGGGATGGACACACGATTTCCTGAGGACGGAGAATCCGAGCCGCTCGGAGCTGTTCCCCCCACGCTGAAGTTTCCCATCGAGTTCAGAACTTCTTCGAACCGTGGATCTACGGATAGTTTCGGGTCATCGTTTGACTCATGCCAGTGTCTCGTGAAATATAGTACACGATCTCTTCACTCTCAGAATCAGGACATTGATCGAGCTCAACCATTATTCAAGCACCAACCTTGTGAGAGATCCCTCGCAATGACAGAGCTTGGCGGCTTCATTCATTTGAAAGTAAAGTTTGAATCAGCCAGATTGCACTGGGCGTATGACGGCTACCGACTTCCAGCAGTTCAAGGCCATGACGATTCCCATGGAGAATGGCCATATGGTTCAAGATTGCTTGTAAACTTACATGGGAATCGGGAGAGCTGTTCGACGAGGCTCGATCCATCTCTAGGTCTCTGACGTGAGAACTGTCAGATGGAGAAGACCTCCTTCAGAGCGATGCATTTTTTCCCGCATCTCGAGACTCGTCCAAATTTTTTCATGCTCCGTATCGAATTCGAATTTATGAGACTGTCGCCAAACCTGCAAATGACATTCCTGCCTCCTGAGAATTGACTCGCATCGAGCTTGTGGGTAGTCAACCACTGTTGTAAGGAAGTGCAGCTCAACTTCGGCAGTACCACGAATTCTGTGGTTCGAGCCTTGCAGTAGACACAGTGAGGCAGCCCGAGTTCGTTCCCGCTTTGCACTATGGCACTTCAAACAGGCACTTACAATAGCTCCAGGATATCATTCACCGACCCGTCATCGCGCTTGTCACTCTCATCGCGTAGATTTGTTCCGACTCCTTTTCCAAGGAGAACTTGGAGAGTTTCGGAGTGATACCCATCCGTGGGTAAACAATAACAAAACGAGATTATCCCGAACAGCTTGACTCGGGTCTCCCCGGACGAGTTGGTACAGGGGACTAAAAAAGTCCTGAATCGGACGATGTCCTCATGGCAAACTATTCGTTCTCGAGAAACGGCGGGAAACTCAATCTAATGATGGGTCCCAGATAGGAATTCGCTCATGAGCGCTTGCAGACGAAGCTCAGCCAGTCGCTGATGGTGATGATCTCTGCTTGGAGCGAGGGTGGATCGACTCGAGGGCTGACTTCATTTACCTCGATGATATCCAAGACTCAAATAAGAACAGAGAGTTCTGTGATCCACTCACATCCCTGAAGAATGGTACGGACCCTGGAAGCGATCAAGACCGGTGAACCCCATCGGAATTTCTGAAGGCGGATTTTGGGTCGAGCCACAACAAATCACCAATTTGTTCCGGAGCAATCTTCCTCGTTTCAAGGCTTGCACTGGATGATGCAAGTCTCGAAATCAGTTTGACGAGAACGCGGACCTTGTCATATCCAGAATCGAATCCCGAAGAACGCCATTCGTCAATCAGCCTGTACGCTATTCATTGCTCGATAAAATCCAGAGGAGTCGACTGCCGGCAGCGAACGAAGGTTGAGCTTCCAGATGACGAATCTCGGCGGTGTTCCCCTCCCTGGGATGAAAACCCACGGCGACTCCGATCGCGATTTCGGTCATGAGATAAGACCCCCGTGATTCCTCTGCCCCATTATCCCGTCAGACAGTCGTCGCCTCCGCCTCGAGTAACCAAGTCCGCATGACCTATGGAAGAAATATCATATGATTCCCTGATTAATGCATGAGGGAGCCGGGGCTTCCCTCTGAAGGCAGGGCTTTCTTGTTCGGCGATCAGGTCCGACAGTTGGCATGGAGCCCACCCCGCGAGTTCTCTTTGGATGCTCTATCCTGCTTCGGGAGGGTTCTGCGCTCAGTCACAAATCAGGGGAATCTCGAAAAGGGAAGCACCACCCAGAATTGACCTCTTGCTTCACGGTGCGAGCCGGAAAAATCCGATCGAATACCCGGCGGAATATTCCACAATTCGAATGATACCTGGAGAGATATGGTTGCAGAGCCGCAGGCTCTGGGGCCGCCTGCTTAGGTGGCTTGCGTCTCTCATCGACTCATCAGTCCCCTGTCAAAAAAAAAAACTTTCTCGGGCTGATCCACACAGCTAAGGTTTAACGTCCTGGGTACTGTTATTCACATTGCTTCCGAGGACGGATCCATAGAGCAAATGTACCCAGGAGGATCAAGGTCGAGTACCTGCATATTTTTCCGGCAGCAGGGATCGAACCCACACCGCCTCCCGCGCGAGCGGCGTCGTTGCGGATACGCACGTTTGCACGACATCAGTCCCCTCTCAGACAGCAAAAAAAAGAATCAGAATGCCCTAAAACCTCGGCAGAACGAACGAGAGTCTGCGTCGGCTCTTGAGGATTCGCGTGGATCTCTCGCAGACGATGGGAACGGACCGAGGACTCTGAATTTGCTACAGTATGAAAGCGACCGCACGCCTCCTGGTCTAGGCATCACGAAGGTACGGAGCTGACGAACTTCTCCAAAAGCTTCCCTGCCCACGTCTACGTGGTTGTTACATCTCTGAGCTCCGTAGATCTGAGCTTTGTTGATGATTCACCTTTGTACCCTGGAACGAGACGCTCTCCGCGGTTCTGGAGGAGGAATTTTTCGTCTTCCCCTTTGACGAGCGTGGGTCCACAGAGATATTCTAGGACGATCCGGATTCATGTTTGAATCCGTCCGCTGCTTCCCCGGAAGGTCCACTATTTCACAGATTTGCCATGAACTTCTAGATTCTAAACGGACTTCAAGATGCGAACGTTTCCGATCCAGGAACACGAGGAGCCGAGACCAGAAGGTTTCGCTTCAACAAGGTCGCAATTTTTTGACCTGCTCCAATCCGCCTCACCCGCGGACTCAATCGTAGATCTTGGATAGATCTAATTCAAAACTGGGAACCGAGCTACACACCGATGCAAGCGTTCTAGGGCAAGCATCCCTCTGATAAACCCCCTTGGTTCCAGAATCATTATTCTTGTAATATTATCCTTATATCATGTACAGAATTTTTTCGAGGATGTGCTCAGGGTCAGCAGGGGGTCAGGGAAGGGCGCCGCTTCCGCGTGCTCTTCAGACGTGGAAAGCTTGAGGGTGAGGAAGAATTCAAAGAGGGGCCTACGCCCCCCATGAGGTGCGTTTCAGATGATGCTCTCAGTCTCCGAGTCACTGGGAAGATAGCTCCCAGGTTATTCGCACCTCATGAGATCGATGGCCTTGTGGACTCTGACTCCTGTCGTCTAAACGAAAGTGTTCCAGAGGGTACATGAACTTCGTCCACTGGCCGAAATTCGGCTTGATATCCGAAGCAGACTTCTTCGAGAGTTTGGCGTCCCGAAATATGCAATAAGCGAGACGTCACTCGACTTACGTTGCGCTGTACTCGTCGCCTCGAGTCCCGACTAGGTAAATCGGGTGCTGCGCGCGCGTATTCACGATGCTCCGATTCTAGCTCTCGAATCCTGCTACTTAATTCACTGCTACGACAAAAAGTCCCTTCCTTCGGAAAAGGAGGCTCATCGATTCCTCTGATCAATTTTTCAGAGGGAATCTTTGCGTCTCCATGGCTCTACAGAGAGAATCGTCATGGAATGCCCACGCCGAACTGCTTCGCGTCCATTCAAAGCTCCAGGATGAGGCTTCCGACGCATCGTGGAATGGAGTACATCAGAAAACTGTTGAGCAAGAAAAGATACTTCGGATGTGCCGCATGCTGTCTCACGGCGATCATTCTGGCCCAGATTGACATGAGCCGAAAGAGTTCGGAGCTGCAGAGCCTCGGCAGCGAGATACCGAGAGATTCTTTGCACGGAGATTTCGACTCCGCGTACCAAGCTTCCGAAGCCGAAGAAATGATCGTGTCCGCTATCATGAGCGAGGTCGAGAGGGTGTCGAACAGACGTAACCTCTTGATCGAGCTCGTGGGATGCCACCTCAGAAAGTGGTTCAAAACCACG